TGTGTATGTGATTTATTTTAATTGCTTTGTTATTGTGATTGTTATTGCTTGTATTGATGTATTGTTGGGCTCGGTCTCATGTAAGCCGCACCGAGTGCCTTGAGGAGATGGTAGCGGGGTACAAATAAAGTATTATTATTATTATTATTATTATTATTATTATTATTATTATATAAATACTGTAAATAAAATAATATATATGTATGTAGCAGGCAAACAACTGCATGGATTCCCTGTAACTTCTCCTATGGCTGTATTTCTAGTTTTGAATAAGTCCTTTTTTAGAGTGGAACATACTGAAATATTGGTATAAGAGTACTATGTTACCTATTGGGGGGGGGGGAGATATATCAGACTATAGAACATCTCTCTAGGAATATCTAGTTTCCTTAGCATGACTCTGTGGTCTGCATTCATCAGATATCACTGGAGCATCAGGGAATTCCTGGAGAGATATTCCAGGATGATTCTGTGATCATCTTCTTGCAGAAGTTGACCATGGTATTGCACTGGAGGTTTGGAGATTCTTAGAAAAACACTTTGAACAAATACGTGTGTGCTATCACACGCTGGGCCTATGACAATGTCTGTTTACAAGACATGCTTTCTGTATGCCCAACGGGATGCCGGGGTGCCTCAGCTAAGGGGTCCCATAAGTTTCCCAACACAAAGTTCTGTAGAGGCTCAAAATAAGTTCTTTATTAAGGCTTAAATTTTCAAACAAATGAATTAAATATTTTATAATCTTAAAAGGCTGGTAGCTTTCTCGAACTGCCAACAAGGGACAGGCAACTGCTTGATAAACTGTTCCTATCTTCTTTAGGGAAACCTTCTGACCCCTCCCTGGGCAATCTTTCTTTACCCTGCTGCCATGAGGCCCAAATTCCTGGCTCCAAGCTGTGTTATGGATAGCCCAAGTGGTCCCTTACCAGGCAGTGGTTGCTGTAGATCTGCCAAGCTGGTGTCCTTTTCGTTTCTCCACGAAGGCTGTAGGAACTATTTCTTTTGCCCAGCAAAGGCTGGCTGTATTCCTCCAGCAAAGGCTGTGGAACCGTAACTTTACTCCCCAGCAAAGCTGTAGAGATTTTCCTTTTCCCCCAGCAAGCTGGCTGTAAATCTATCTCTTTCACCCCAGCAACGCTATAAGAAGTGAAGCTTTTTGCAGGTGGGGAAGAGAAAGCCCACACATCCTGCTACCTTGGCTCCAAACTGTAAGACTGAACTAAAAGTCCCTTTTTTCCCTCCAAACCTGGGGAAAGGCATGGATCTAAAGGCTCTAATGATGATTGATAGGTTGCTGGACCTATGATTGCAACCTGAGGAAGGCTACCCAATGGCAAAATGCATGGCCCAAATCAGGGGTCCTCAAATAAGGCCCGGGGGCCGGATGCGGCCCTCCAAGGTCATTTACCCGGCCCTCGCTCAGGGTCAATCTAAGTCTGAAACGATTTAAAGGCACACAACAACAACAATCCTATCTCATCAGCCAAAAGCAGGTCCACACTTCCCATTGCAATACTAATACATTTATATTTGTTAAAATTGTTCTTCTTTTTAATTATTGTATTGTTTTTAAGTGGGTTTTTTGCACTACAAATAAGATATGTGCAGTGTGCACAGGAATTCATTCATGTTTTTTTCAAATTATAATCCGGCCCTCCAACAGTTTGAGGGACTGTGACCTGGCCCCCTGTTTAAAAGGTTTGAGGACCCCTGGCCCAAATAGTTCAAACAAACAGTGCAAGAAATGGAAATTCAAACTCCTGGCATTGCCGTGCCAGCACAACGTGAATAATCAAATCCACAGAAGTAAAATCTGTAAATGTAGAGGACCAACTGCACCTTGAAACCAGTGCATATATGTCTATTCTTCTTCATCAGACTTTCTTTTTTTAATTAAAGGGCATGCTATATAATAATGTGTCATGCTGAATGACATTACCAAGGGTCTATTCCAGGCATGGTCAAACTTCAGCCCTCCAGGTGTTTTGGACTTCAACTCCCACAATTCCGGCTGTTAGGAATTGTGGGAGTTGAAGTCCAAAACACCTGGAGGGCCCAAGTTTGACCATGTTTGGTCTATTCCCTGTGATATCAACAGAAGGGCAAACCCTGTGACATCATCAGAGACCACCCTTGCTCCCAAATTTTGGCTCTGAAATCTTAGGGCCTAGAATAGTAGTAACCCCAGTTTACCCTAGTTTTAATTGGTGCCAGAAACAACAATCTTGGCTCTTTACAACTGTGCATGCATCTGTTTACAATACCGCCCACGTCCGTCTACTATCCATAATTCAAAGCATGAATAGCTGCAGAGAGTAAAGTGTTATACCACAGAAAGGAAGTCATGGTTCCCTCATCCAAAATATCAATAAATATATGAACAGCATTCGCAGCTGCTGGATTTTGTCCCAAGAGCGTTGGTTCCTGCTTTTCTTCTTTAAATGCATAGTATCCTATTGGGATATTAAATATTCATCAGTCCCATCTTTTCTTTTTTTCTGCAAAAAGAGCAACAGAGGACCATCTGGAGGCAAGACAGAGGCAACTGTTTTGTCATGTTTTCAACATGCATGTTTTTGCATTTAATAAAAAAAATATAGCTTTGCAACAGCATTTCTGAATGGGACGGGAATGTTCTTCTTCCAAACCCTTTGAATGACGCCTAATTGGAAGGCAATGTAAGCATTCAAATACTTGAGGAAATTACAACTAAAGGAAACAATGAGTGACAGTTTAAAAAGAAAGGATTAGATTAACGCTTGTAAAAGAAAAGCAGACTTCTTTATAACTCACAAGCATGTGGACAATTTCAACAGAAAGGAGGAAACCATGAAAATGAACAAAATCTGGCTACCAGTATTAAAAAAAACTCTAAAATTACAACAGCAAAACAGAGAGAACAATCAGGGACATCTAATCACTTCTCAACAAAAGATTGCCCCAGGCACTAACAAGCCACACCAAACAACTGCCAGGCCATCAAATGCTAATCAAGGTGGTCAGTTGAAACATTCACACCTAGCTCCAACAGACAAGAGTCCTTTGTCCCACCCTGGTCATTCCATGGATATATAAACCCATTTTCCTAGTTCCAACAGACCTCACTACCTCTGAGGATGCTTGCCATAGATGCAGGCGAAATGTCAGGAGAGAATGCCTCTAGAACATGGTCATATAGCCCAAAAAATCCTACAACAACCCAGTGATTCCGGCCATGAAAGCCTTCGACAATACAGTTTCAAGAATGCTTGCCACACAGGACCAGAACAAAAGTGACTCTGGGGATTTGTGGTCAGCAATCCAAATTGTTTCCCATTTATAGCAAATGTGATAATATATTGGGAGGGAGAGAAGAAGTAGGGAGAACCTTAGTGGCCCCTTCCCCCTAAATTTCAGAGAATCATAGATTTGGAGGAGACTCCAAGGACCATCCAGTTCAACTCCATTTTTCCATGCAGGAACATACAATCAAAGCACTCCCTACAGACGGTCATCTAGCCTATGCTTAAAAATCTCTAGAGAAGGGAGCAGCATATTCCACTGTTGAGCAGCTCTGTCAGGAAGTTCTTCCTAATGTCTTCTTACTTATTTCTCTGTTGGGAAGTTCTTCCTAATGTCTAGGTGGAATTGGGATATCTGGAGGGTGTACACAATGTTGAGATACACTGATGCAAAGTGAAATGTAGGGAGGCAAAGAGTATGTATGGCAACAATATATTTTCTAAAATCTGTCAAGAATGGAGCACTTGTTACATAGATGGGGTCATGCCAACCAGTGTTTTGATAAAAAATGGGTTGTGTTTTTAAGGCATGGAAAAATGCTTCATCTTAGTGCAGTGTTTCTCAACCTGAGGGTCGGGACCTCTGAGGGGGTAGCGAGGGGGTGTCAGAGGGGTCACCAAAGACCACAAGAAAACACAGTATTTTCTGATGGTCATGGGGATTCCATGTGGGAAGTTTGAGCCAATTCTATCGTTGGTGGAGTTCAGAATGTTCTTTGATTGTAATGAACTATAAATTCCAGCAACTACAACTCCCAAATGTCAAGATCTATTTTCCCCAGACTCCACCAGTGTTCACATTTGGGCATATTGAGTATCCGTGCCAAGTTTGGTCCAGATCCACCAATGCATGAGTCCACACTGCTCTCTGGATATAGGTGAACTACAACTCCCAAACTCAAGGTCAATGCCCATCAAACCCTTCCAGTGTTTTCCATTGCTCATGGGAGCAAGGTTTGGTTCAAATCCATCACTGGTAGAGTTCAGAATGCTCTTTGATTATAAGGAAACTATAAATCCCAGCAACTTCAACCCCCAAATTACAAAATCAATCCTCCCCCAACCCCACTAGCATTCACATTTGGGTGTATTGGGTATTTGTGCCCAGTTTGGTCCAGTGAATGAAAATGCATCCTGCATATCAGATATTTACATTATATATTTACATTACTTTATAACAGTAGTAAAATGACTGTTATGAAGTAGCAATGAAAACAATCTTATGGTTGGGGGTCACCACAACATGAGGGACTGTATTAAGGGGTCACGGCATTAGGAAGGTGGAGAACCACTGTTTTAGTGTGTGTATGTTCTATATATGCCACATACATTGGACATATTAAAAACTTCTTCTCGCTCAACAAAACTGCAATCGGTGCAGGCAAGTACTCATATGTATTAAAAGCCCTTTTCTCCCAAAGACGATGCATAAAGTCAATTGGGCCTTTTCTGTAAACAGCACTCTGCAGGCATATCTATCATTCAAACAAGAAAGGAAATCATATGACGGAAGCAAGGCAACCAATGGTCGAGGGTGGAAAAAAGAAAAAGAAAAAAAAGACCCGTAGCATCTGAGTATCTTCTTTGTGTGTTTGTTCTGCTGGAGATTATCTGTAGGAATTTCTCGGTCAAATGATTGGAGGTTTCTCTAATTTTTCCCTTCCCTCCCTCTTTCTCTTTCTCTCCCCCTCCCTTTCCCTCTCTCTTCTTGCGCAGATGAAATCATGCAACAGGAGATCAGGCCCCTTGTTGCTGTGGATATCATAGAACAGCTTAAAAGTATCTCTGCGACATATTTTTGTCAAGCCACCTCACTATGTAGACCAGGCATGGGTAAACTCCAGCCCTCCAAGTGTTTTGGACTCCAACTCCCACAATTCTAACAGCCTCAGGCCCTTTCCTTTTTAGCGGCTGAGGGGGAAAAGGAAGGGGCCTGAGGCTGTTAGGAATTGTGGGAGTTGGAGTCCAAAGCACCTGGAAGACCCAAATTTGCCCATGCCTGAGTTAGATAGAAACCTCACCCCATCATTGCACCAGGTTCCTATGCCCTGCTTCTCTTTGAGCATTGAAGGAAATGAGAACTGCAGAGCTCCATAAGCCTTTGATCTGATCCAGTAGAGCTGTCATATTCTTATCAAGATGACCAGGCAAGATCCTAATATGGCCACCAAGTGCTTCTTTAGAGTTGCCAGGTCTCTTCATGCCCAGATCCTGAGATTTAAGACCAGAACTTTAGAGTTCTGGTCCAAGATGCCAAATCTTCCCCTTAAATGTTCCAGGGTTTGCTTTTCATCCCTTGAAACCCACCATTGACCACATTCGTCCTTCCCAAGCTAAAACTAGATGTGACTTGAAGCAACAGTAGCCACAATAGCTGGGGATTCTGGAAATTGTTGTCCAAAAAGGTCCCACTTCAAGTTGAGAACAAAGCTGCGACAACCATAGCAGCTAGTGGTTTCTATTTCAAAGGATTGGGAAATTCCTATTGGGTTTAAGTCTAAAAATTTAAAAAGCTATTCCCCAGAAGGAACCCCCGGTGGTGCAGCAGGTTAAACCACAGAGCTGCTGAACTTGCTTACTGAAAGGCTGGCAGTTCGAATCCGGGGAGCAGGGTGAGCTCCCAGTGTTAGTCCCAGCTTCTGCCAACCTAGAAGTTCGAAAACATGTAAATGTGAGTAGATCAATAGGTACAGTTGCCCGCACTGTGAACTGCCCTGAGTCCCCTTTGGGGTTGAGAAGGGCAGTATACAAATACTGCAAATAAATAAATACCGCTCCAATGGGAAAGTAATGGCACTCCATGCAGTTATGCCATCCACATGACCTTGGAGGCGTCTACGGACAACGCCGGCTCTTCGGCTTAAGGTGAGCAACACTCCCAGAGCTGGACATGACTAGACTTAATGTCAGCGAAACCTTTATCTTTACTATTCACCAGAACTAATAAAGGAATATATCAGGGGTCCTCAAACTTTTTAAACAGAGGGCCAGGTCACAGTCCCTCAAACTGTTGGAGGGCAGGATTATAATTTGAAAAAAAATGAATGAATTCCTATGCACACTGCACATATCTTATTTGTAGTTCAAAAAACACTTAAAACAATACAATAATTAAAATGAAGAACAATTTTAACAAATATAAACTTACTAGTATTTCAATGGGAAGTGTGGGCCTGCTTTTGGCAGATGAGATAGGATTGTTGTTGTTGTGTGCTTTCAAGTCATTTCAGACTTAGGTTGACCCTGAGCGAGGGCTTGGTAAATGACCTTAGAGGGCCATATCCGGCCCCCGGGCCTTAATTTGAGGACCCCTGGAATATATGATTAAATGGGAGATTTTATTGTTGCTCTTTTTGATAAATGTACAAATTTCAGATTCAAAAAATGCACCCAAAAATCCTATCCAGGGAGTAGAACCTGTTTTGTCATTAAGGTTCAGCACCTTGAATAGCTCATTAAAGTTAGTATTATAACCCAAAATAGATTTTTCACCACATTGTCATGGAAGCAATACATTCATGTTGGTTATTTTTTCCCCAGCCAGAAACCTTTCCGATTTGCCGGTTGATTTCTGGACTAGATTCAGAACTGCAAAAATTGTTCCTTTCAGCGCCATCTAGGCAGGGAAAATGTGGAGCACATTTCAGTGGCTTGGAGTAGTCGTTATTTCTTGCATTTACAGCTCTATGAATGAAAACTCTCTCCAGGATTCTGTGAGTTTTCTGGGCTGTATGGCCATTTTCCAGATGCATTCTTTCCTGATGTTTCCGGAAATGGTCAAACAGCCCGGAAAACTCAGCAACCCGATGATTCCAGCCATGAAAGCGTTCGACAACACAGAACTCTCTCATCTTCTACTTTTCTCTCAGTTGTCCTCTAATTGGTACTAATATTACTGATAGTATAGGCTTCCAGTATCCCTCTGCCTTTTGTAGCCCCATGACATCAGAAATATATCACATGACATTTCTCTCCAGCACAGAAATTCAAACTCAAAGTTTTGTCACCTGAATCTTCTTCTGTGGCACAGAAGGGAGAAACTTTCCCATCTTTTATAGATTCCCAGATGAGTTGTGAACCAAAATGCTTCTGGGTCTAACTCATCCTTCCAAGGAATTCTCAGTGGTTTTCCTTCTGCAGTTTCAGACACAAAGTCATATTTTTTTTTAATATTTATCAGTGGGTTTTACACAAAAAAATATGCAAAAGTTTCAAAGACGTTTCCTGACTATGTAAGAGCTAATTTTCCAAAGACAAGAGTCCTTTTCAGAAAAATATTCATCTAAATTACCCTTTTAAGGATCTGCTCTAAAAAATTTTTAAAGTCTGCTCCTTGTACCTTCAAAAACTCATTAAACAAAAGATATGGATGACTGCAGCTTTCTGACCGTTGAAAAATCTGCAGGAATTTGCATAATCTGAGCACAATAAACACTGCAGCAAGGCTTGTTTTAATTCATTTTCCCCTAAGACAGGCAGGCAGAAAGAAAGAGAGGAAGAGAAAGGCTTGACAGCTGCCTGATTTACGTCTTCTACCGACAATCAGTGATGGACATCCGTTTCCTCTTGTTAATTGGTTACACACAGAGAGTGATTTGAGAACCTGCTTCCTTCACTTGATTGACTCAGTGTTGTATTAGCTTTGGGCACAAACACCAGATATATGTAGGTGACCAGCCCTTTTTGACCCATGTTCTGCAGATACAGTCAGCTCTACATATTGGTGGGTTTCACCTTTTTGCAGATTTGATCATTCATAGATAGATTAAAATGTTCTTTCTAGGAAACTCTAGGTCCTCCACTAGGACTCTATTTCTGTTCAACCACAAAAGTTGCAGAGCCTGGGTGCTCTTTCATAGCTAGATTCCCTTAATACAGGAGATATATTCTGATTAATACATATGGTTACATTTTAAAAAAGCTGCTAACTACTAGTATTTTTGAACACATGGCAGAGCGATGAGAAGACTGGATATTTCCTGCTCCTTTTTTCCTGTATAGGCTGCCAAATGTGTCCACATGATGTCGCTCATTCCTTCCTCTCAGAAGCAAGGATGACATACATTGAGATATATTTCTGAGGGCTACAACCCACTCCAGGTTTGAGCCCAAATCTAAGAGAATATATCTAAAACATGTAGCCTATTTTAAGAACAGGACGCAACATCTTGGATAACTGAAGTTCAGGCCAAGTCATTGATGTGGAAGCTTTCAGCCATTGCAAAGAATTACCAGTAGTTGCTGTCAAGTAATTGTACATACATAATTTCCATATATAAAGCTCCCACATGTTGTTCCATTGCATAAATGGCATGAATCTGCCCATGTGAAGCAGGTGAATATAGCACTGAATGAGACATGTAGAATAAGCACAGGGAGTTTAAAACCTGTTGATAGACTCTATAAGGCAGCTGGCATTGCCCTCCTCGATGTGTGACAGGAAGTTGCTGCCAATTGTGAGAGAAATAAGCTTGAACACTGTGAAAGCCATCCACTACTTATTATTATTATTATTATTAACTTTATTTGTACCCCGCTAACATCTCCCGAAGGACTCGGTGCGCTGCGGCTTATAAAGGCCAAGGCCCTCAATAAAACAACAGCATAACAAATATAACAATAAAACTCAAAAAGCAAACCAATAAACATTAAAGCAATAACGGTAAAACAATAAAAACAATACATCATAACACATTAAAACTAGGGCCGGACCAAATGTAATGGATAAAGTTCAAAGTGCTGGGCATGACAGGTGAAATATAAGGATTTTAGGGTAGGTGCGATGTGCAGACAATCTTAAATCTCTAGTAAAGTGCGTTTGGGACATGATGCTGTGAGTTTCCTATTCTGGAAAGGCACACTGGAATAGCCAGGTCTTCAAGCTCTTCCTAAAGACTGCCAACGTTGGGGCTTGTCTGATGTCCTTGGGGAGAGAGTTCCAGAGTCGAGGGGCTACCAGAGAGAAGGCCCTGTCCCTCGTCCCCACCAAACGCGCTTGCGACGCAGGTGGGATCGTGAGCAGGGCCTCTCCAGATGAACAGGGATCGTGTGGGTTCTTATATGGAGATGCGGTCACGCAGGTAGGTGGGTCCCAAACCGTTTAGGGCTTTGTAGGTGAGCATTTGCACCTTGAATTGGGACCGGAAACTTGGCTGTCTTGGCTGTCTTGGCTGTCAGCATCCTCCCAGCAGACTTAAATCAAGGGAAATTTTCATGAGAACCACCACTGATATATGGGCCAAAGTTTTTTGAAACTCTGATCTATGGCCCCTTCAACACTGCCATCTAAAATCCAGATTACATGCCTTGAACAAGACTATATGGCAGTGTAGACTCATATAGTCCAGTCCAAATCAGATAATGTGGATTATATGCTTTGATGATCTGGATTATATGGCAATGTAGATCCAGCCTATGAAAAGCTTGTTGCTTTATGGCAGCTGATTTGTCTTGCAGGAGGAAGGGGGAAAGATGGGGCACCGATCATCACCTTCCCAGAGTATCCAGGCTTCAGCGAGATTCCAGATGAGGATTTTCTGAATGTCGTTACGTATTTAACCAGCATTCCCAGGTAAGTCTAAAATCTACCAACAATACATTTACTGATTCACTCATTGCTGTCTTCAAGGCGAGGCCAAATGGTATATTTTGGGGCTCTTTGCACTGTGTAATTATCGTGCATCAATTCTATTTTAATTGCAATGGTTCTGTCCTGTGGAATCCTAGGGATTGCAATTTGGGGAGGGACCTTTAGGTTTCTCAGCCAGGGAGATCTAGTTTCTCTCCAAATTACAAAACCAACACACATTTTCCATAGAATGTTACCAGGGCAGTTAAAGTGGATTCACAATGCTATAAATGTGCAATGTGAAAGGGTTCCTTATGTCTCGTGTTTACACATATTCTCCATCAACCTAATCTTATGTATGGGAATCCATGACTTGCAGGGATTCCAATCCTTGTTTGCGCCATAATTTGGTGAAACCCAGCTTCAACCCTATTCATAATTTCCATGTATGGTTCATCTTTTGGCAATTTAGTCCCAAACAATAGATGCAGAAAGAGTTTTTACATATTTTTGCAAAGCCTTCCTTCCTTTCCTCCTTCTGACAGCAGAAAAAGACCTTTTTAATTCAGAGAGGCTTTGGGCAGGTAACTGACTGTTGTGGTTATTTCTAAACGAGGGAGTATTATTTCCAGATTTTCCTTTCTTGTTATGTTTTCACATGGATTTAAATCATTTCAACTGAATGTTTGGTTTGAATGTGATCAATTGTTTGGGGTAACTTTTACATTGTTTTCTAAATGTTACCACTATTGCTTTCAGCTGTTTCATATTTTAACATATGTTACAAATTGTCTTGGGTCTTGCACAGAGAGAAAGGTACGATGCAAAATTCATAAGGCAGAATTGTGTATCCAAAGTTCAGACTGAAGATGGTGCCTGTGTAAGAAGCTCAGGTTGCATACAAATCTACTTGCATAAGCTGTTTAAGAAAGCAAACACAAACAGTGTTCATGAGTATTGAGTAGGCTTTGTCTATGGAATTTGTAAATTCACAACTCAGGACTGAGTTTGGGGCTGAATATATGTAGGCATCACCTTCTGCCATCCCTACACTGATATTTATTTATCGTGTCAGGAGCAACCAGACAGTTGTATTACATTCTTAACAAAACAAACAAACAAACAGACAAAACACAAAGTTTGCAAGCTTGGTGGTTGATTAAATGTCCTTTGACAAGTATCTGGCCACTTGGAGTGCCTCGGGTGCTGTCGCAAGAAGGTCCTCCATTGTGCATGGAGCAGGGCTCAGGTTGCATTGCAGCAGGTGGTCTGTGGTCTGCTCTTCTCCACACTTGCATGTTGTGGATTCCACTTTGTAGCCCCATTTCTTAAGGTTGGCTCTGCTTCTCGTGGTGCCAGAGCGCAGTCTGTTCAGTGCCTTCCAAGTCGCCTAGTTTTCTGTGTGCCCAGGGGGGAGTCTCTCATTTGGTATCAGCCACTGATTGAGGTTCTGAGTTTGAGCCTGCCACTTTTGGACTCTCGCTTGCTGGGGTGCTCCACTGATATTTTATGACATAACTTTGGAGATGACGATGTCAGTATCTTCTACTTTACCTCATCCAGTTTGGGCAGAAATTTTAGAGTTGTGGTTGAACATACCACATTTTGAAAGCTATTGGTAATAGGCATCATGTTTCACAGAACATATTGTGCTTTCCTCTGGCTTTTGCAATTTTCTGGGTTTTGTGTCAAACTTCCAAGTGGTGCTGATCAAAAGGTGGTTTCAGAGATTGGCTTCAGTAAATTCAGTCAATGCCCTGAATGTCAGTACTTCTTAGAAGGTGGTTTCAGATGTTTGTAGAGCTGCAACCATTGTGATGGCAAGATTTGGAAATTTAGAGTTGGATTGCTATGCTTTAGCAGGTTTGGAGCTAATCTTCTGTCTTGGGACCCTCTGAAAGCTGCATGGACCACAAAAAATACCCCTCTTGTGCACAAACATGCACACACATTCACCTAGAAATGAATGGAAGTATACTTCTTAGTTTGAAGGTAGGGATTAATGTACTGTGTGTCCCTATAATCCTTGTAAAAGTTCAATTCTTGTTTCACAATTTACCCCTTTATCTGATCAAGAAATCTGAAAGCAATTGAGGTGACAAAAACTCTCTTTAGGGACAATATGTGGCCACAAAATCATACTCTGCCAACATCTCTTATGCCAGAGTACAGACCTTGTTTGCAGTCCATACAGTTGTGTTTTCTGGTGTAGTGTTTCCCATTGTGGTGTCTCTGTGCATCCAAAAGGTTGTGGAAAGTTAATTCAAGGTGTCCAATAGATGCTTCTCTAGAGCACTGGAAAACCTCAAATTTTGGGTGCATTTGTCTTTTGAGGGGACTGGAAATGATAAAGCATTACTTCCATTTACTTCTTGGACTTTATTGTGTTAGGGGCATCTTTTCTAGGGGATTCCCTCTGCAAAAGCAGCAGATGAAGAGCCTTCATAAAGATTATTGTCGAAAGCTTTCATGGCTGGACTTACTGGGTTGTTGTAGGTTTTTTGGGCTATATGGCCGTGTTCTAGAAGCATTCTCTCCTTACGTTTCACCTGCAACTTTGGCAAGCATCCTCAGAGGTTGTGAGGTTCTCACAACCTCTGAGGATGGTTGCTATAGATGCAGGTGAAACATCAGGAGAGAATGCTTCTAGAACATAGTCATATAGCCTGAAACGCCTACAATAACCCAATAATTAATTCTGCTCCAAAACTGCCTTCTGGTTAATATCCACAGCTCTTCAGGTCAGCCTTTCCTTTGGTTGGCAGTACATTTGCCTTAAGAGCTTAAATAACCTAAAAGCACCACATTCTGTCTGATCTTGGAAGCTAAGTAGGATCAGCCCTTGTTAGTACTTGGATGCTAGACCACCAATGAATACCAGGTGCTGTAGGCTACATTTCATAGAAGCATAGAATTGGAAGAGACCTCGTGGGCCATTCAGTCCAACCCCCTGCCAAGAAACAGAAAAATTGCATTCAAAGTGCCCCTGACAGATGGCCATCCAGCCTCTATTTAAAAGCCTCCAAAGAAGGAGACTTCACCACACTCTGGGGAAGAAATTTCTTTTACGATAGAGTTATAAGCCGGGAAGGAGATAGTCAAATCATGTCTGAGTATTCCTTGCCTAAGAAAACCCTCTGAAATTTACAGGGTCATCATAAATTGACAGGCCCCTTTAAGTTACATACCCACACAAATGTTTGACTCCACAATGACTTATTCCCAGCCAGGCCCGTAGCCAGGATTTCGTTTCGGGGGGGGCTAAAAAATTTTCAGGGGGGGTTTCGGGGGGGGGCTGAGTTTCGGGGGGGGGCTGAGTCTGAGTGAAAGAGGGTCTAGCCTAGCAAACCTTTTGTATCATTACCCCAATACCCCCATACATATGGGATATATTGAGTATGGTGATCAGATCATGATATGAATAAACATAACAGTTTAAATAATGCACCAGTAAGGCCTTTTCGCGAACCACCATGAGAATTTCGGGGGGGGGGGGCTGAAGCCCCTCAAGCCCCCCCCCCCCCCCCGGCTACATGCCTGTTTCCAGCTGAATTGAGAGGGATGCAACAGTCTTTATGGGGGTCAGTTTGGGTTCCAGCACACAGGTAAAGGGGCAGTGAGGAGCCCACGGTAGCACAATGGGTAAAACTGTGCCGGCAGAACTGCTGACTGAAAGGTTGACAGTTCAAATCCGGGGAGTGGGGTGAGCTTCCATCTGTCATCTTCACCGTCTCATGTGGGGACATGAGAGAAGCCTCCTACAAGAGGGCAAAACATCCAGGCGTCCCCTCAGCAACGTCCTTGCAGACAGCCAATTCTCTCACACCAGATGCAACTTGCAGTTTCTCAAGTCACTCCTGACACTGAAAAAAAAAGTGCACATATGCTGCACAGTTTTCTCCCTGAGAAATATATCTACATTCACACTGGGGGGTAGCTAAATATTTAGCCCCCAAGCATGTGTTCTGACATGGCTGTGCCAGGGGTTTGAATTCCCTTTTCTTCCATTGCTTGTTTGCATGAATTCCTGAAGGCTATGCACTTTGCAATTTGGTAGCTTCTTCCAGATTGCAGTTATAGGGCCAGCAACCTGTCAATCATTGTTGCAGCCTTTAGATCCGCCCCTTTCCCCAGGGTTTTGGAGGGAAAAGGGACCTTTAGCTCAGTTATCATGGAGAAGCCTTTCCAACAGGACATGTGAGATTCTCCCACCTGTAGAAAGCTTCGTTTCTCACAAATTTCGGGGGAAAGCAGTTCCACAGCTTTACTAAGAAATACAGCCAGCTTTGCTGGAAGGTAAAGGATACCAGCTGAAAAATCTACAAAGTCTTGGCTGGTAAGGTCTACTCAGTTATCAGCTCAGTTATCTCAGGAGTTAGCTCAGGAGTAGGGCCCCAGGCCAGCCTAAGAACAGATTGCCCAGGGAAGGGTCAAGGATTTCCTTTATAGAAGAAAGAAACAGTTCTTGAAGCACGTTGCCTGTCCCTTGTGGGCAGATTAAGAAAGCTACCGGTTTTCCAGAGTTTTAAAGTATTTGATTGATTTGTTAAAGATTTAAGCATTAATAAGGAACCTTGTTAAACTTTCTAAGCTTCTAAAGACTTTGTATAGGGAAATCCATAGGGCCTTTCAGCCGAGGCACCCCGGGCATCCCGCTGGGCATATAGAGACCACATCCTGTTAATAGACAATTGCTACAGGCCCAGTGTGTGACAGCACAGCATGCATTAACATTTGAAGAATCATTGAATGGAGTCATAGAATAATAGAGTTGGAAGAGACCACAGGAACCATCTAGTCTAACCCCCTGCGATGCAGGAAAAGCACAATCAAAGCATGCCCAAAAGATGGCCATTTGGTCTCTGTACAGTGATGGAACACTGGTACAATGTTCCATCACTGTGCCTTTTAAAAAAGAAATGTAGAATGGAAAAGTATAAAAGGAAATGGTGTAACTACTTCCTTACTCATATCTCTTCCATTGCCCAGTAGTTCCTTCTACAAGACTTAGCATTTCTGTAGAAGTGTTTGCACATAAAACATATATATCTAGACATTGCCTTGTGACATCCTGTCCGAGGCCTGAGCTTTTATTTTGGGATGTTCACTGTTTAGTTGAAATTGTATCATTTGCTGACACTTTCTTTTGCTCCTCTTTGAGTCTTGGAGCAGTCACGAGAAAGACTCAAAGAAAGAACAAGAAGGTTAATGTGTCATCCTAATCCTCCTCAAATTACCTGAAGTCGAGCAACATTGACCTGGAACTTTTATAATAACTCGCTCAATGTTAATTTCTTTAATACACCTCTGAGTTCACCAGCTGGGAAGAAAGCCAGTAGGAGGAATGGTCTGTCACAAGATGACAAAATCAGCTTTAATAATGAATGCCGCAAGACAGTGGTGGTGGTTGTTCACTGTGTGCCTCCAAGTTGTTGCTATGGTGCTGCCAAGACAAACCTATTATTGGGGTTTTCTTGGCAAGATTAAGAAAGGGGTTGCCTTTCTCTGAGATTGAGAGAGTGTGACTTATGTAAGGGCATTCAGTGGGTTTCCGTGGCTGAGTGGGGATTTCAACCCCGATCTTCCAGAGTCTTGATCCAAGACTAAGACCACAACACCATACTACTTCTTAATAGTAGTACCTTGACGATTGAATTGTATGGCCTAGAGCAGGTATGGTCAAACTTGGTCCCTCCAGGTATTTTGGACTTCAACTCCCACAATTCCTAACAGCTGTGCCCTCCAGGTGTTTTGGACTTCAACTCCCACAATTGCTGTTAGGAATTGTGGGAGTTGAAGTCCAAAACACCTGGAGGGCTCAAGTTTGACCATGCTTGGTCAAGAGGATGGGGCCAGAACTTTGAAAAATTGCTTTTGGGGACTCCATTTCCCAGAATCCCCTGAAATACCAGCCTTATTGGCCATGCTATCCATGTATTTTCCAAGATGGATATGGATAGGTAACTTTCTCAAGGTCTGGCGTTGAAAGGAGAGAGGTGTCTGATTTTGGCTCAGGTGGCATCCTTATAACCTTCTTTGGAGGGATGCCCATTGCCTTTACCCAGTTTCCCAGTGATAAGAACAACATGCTGACTGAATATTTCTCAATGGTATATGCCCAAACATATGCTGCAAAGTACACTTCTTCACTGTATCATATCACTTCATATCTGTTTCTTTGAAGGCAAGAGCAGTTTGCTGTGTCAATTTGGCTGGGTCCCAGTGGATCAAGAAAAGCAGTCGCCGCAAGGGTTTTTCTAACCACACTTTGTGCACTGGGTATCTATTATATAAATCAGGCAATCCCCAGTGTTGAAAATGGAGCCAGGGGACCCTTGTACATTACACAATGATAGCTCTATGTTCCACATGAGCTGCTCTGACTGAATCCTATGGTATTGTGAGGTTTGTGGTTTCGAGAGGCACTGGAGATCTCTGGGTGATAATTGTGACTACTCCTCCTTAAACCACACACCACATGACATTACCATGGCAGCTAGTGGAATATTGTGCTATTGTTGTATAATGTGAAAGGCTCCAGGAAAGGTACCTTTTCTTGGGACCTTTCCATATCACACAGATCTATATACCACTTTAACTATAATAATAATAAATAATAAAGCTTTATTTATACCCCACCACCATCTCCCCAAGGGGACTCAGGGCAGCTTACATGAGGCCAAGCCCAACAACACATCAATAAAACAACAAGGCAACAAGCAAATAAAACAGTGCAATTAATATAACTCACATATAAGCAATAACACACAAAGATTTAAAACCTTATGGCTGGGCCAGATGTAATAGATCCTATGGAATCCTGAAATTTGTAGTTTAAGAAAGGGATTTGCATTCTCAGTCAGAGAAATCAAATGCGTTGCCAAATTACAAGTCCCAGGATTCTATACAAAATTGCCATAACAGGTAAGGGGAACTATAGTTCTCTAAGTATAGAGAATTTTTTAGAATAGAGTATTTTTTAGAATCATGAGGAGGTTGATTTTTTTTCTTAATTAAAGATTGTTATTCCTTGCAACCACTGAGAACAGATAACTGTAGTTAACTACAGTTTTCCATATACCCTATATACTTGAGTATAAGTCAACCCAAATATTAGCCGAGGCACCTAATTTTACCACAAAAAAACTGGGAAAACATATTGATTCGAGTATAAGCCGAAGGTGGGTAATGCAGCAGCTACTGGTAAATTTCAAAATAAAAAAATACATCAGTAGGTTAAATGTTTTTGAATATTTATATAAAACTGCTGTAATTTAAGATGAGACTGTCCAACTGTGATTAAACCATTATTCTAACCTTCTTCAATAATAATATCATTCCAATAATAATAAAGAGAGTAAAATAATAAATTAATAAAAAAATAATAATAGAGTAAAATAATGTAAATGTAATGATAACAGTAATAAATGGAGTAAAATAATAAATGTAATAATAATAATAAAGTAAAATTATAAATGTAATAAAAATAATAATAGAGTAAAATAATAAATATAATAATAGAGTAAAAATAAATGTAACAATAAAACTAAATAGAGCAAAATAATAAATGTAATAAAATATTAATTATAGAGTACAATAATGCACATGTAATAATAATAATATAGTAAAATAATAATAATTATAATAATAGAATAAAATAATAAATAACTTTGGCTCTAGTATAAGCCAAGGGGGGCTTATACTTTTCAGTCTAAAAAAGGGGTTGAAAAACCCGATTTATACTTGAGTATATACGGTACTCTTCCTTGCCTGAATTTTGATGTTATGCATAGGTAAGGAGAGTCCTATGACTCTAGTATAAGTCAAGGGGAGCTTATACTTTTCAGTCTAAAAAAGGGGTTGAAAAACTCAATTTATACTTGAGTATATACGGTACTCTTCCTTGCCTGAGTTTTGATGTTGTGCGTAGGTAAGGAGTAAGGAGAGTCCTATAATTCCTCCTCATTAGGTATTCCTGTCTCACTGAAAAGCCATACAAGTGCATAACTTCTGAATAATTGGACATAAAATCTACCAAATACATCATTTGATTTGAATAACAGGTCATTACGTCCACTGTGCACAGTGCAGTCCAGATTCCTTGCAGAACCTTGGAAGCGGCCTGTGATTTTGTCATATAAATGGTGGATTTTAAATACATCCTATGCATAATTATCTTGCAGCTTCAGAGATAGCAAAGGAGTGCCAGATGCAGGGGTGAGGGATGCATACACTGGAGACTGGTGAGGTGAAGGGTGAGAACACCAGAGATGGAGACACTTACATCCCTTTTGCAAAATCTAGTACTTTTCCACCTATTTGTTGGGAGAGCCATGTGTTATCTGAGCAGGTCGTAAGACCACCATAGTGTGTTGGGTGGAGTCTTGTTCCCTTGCTGCACATGGGAAGAAAATATTACTGTTTGTGGTCGAGTATACGTTTAGAAATTTTAATAAAAAGACTGACCCTGAAAACCTGGGTTGAATTATCCACAGGTCAATATAGTAAGTTCTGCACTTTGATCCTTATTTTAGATAAGAACCCATCCTTTTCTCTGAGTAGAGTGGCAAAAGATGAGATCCTATCTCCTGGGAGAACCTAAAAGAGGAACTGACCCTTTCTTCTGCCATTGTTGAATGCTTGGGCTGGAAAAGGTGGCCGTGGTGGCTAGTTCCCAGAAGTGACATTGGTGCTTTCCCTCTAGGCAGAACGACTCTCAACTTATCCATGGGTCATATCAAAATCCCTAATTTTGACCCCCAAACCTGTCTTCAACTTGTACATGAGGTCAACTTATACACGAGTATAGAGTAACTATGTGTTCAAACTGGGCCAGTTGTGGTTGTTGTTGTGTGGGTTTCATTGTTGCTGTTGCAATACTAAGTGACATCTTTGTTTACCAGCATATAGGCACGTAGGTGATTCCAAACTGTTCACTTGGGGAATCTGCAGCAAAGCAGCTCAAGCTGTCTGGGAGATAAAATATGCATGTTTCATTGAAGCTGCTAACCTGATGCTGGGGAGGGAGGAAGAAAAGGATTGCCAAGGTGGTGTGGCAGGAAACGTTTGTATCTTCTTGCACATAAAGGCTCCCGGTCCGTTTCATTCACGCTCTCCCCCTGCTTGCCCACAATGAGCTCTGAGTGTGCCACGGAGGCTGTCTTTTTGCTGCAGTATTATTGTCGCTTGGAACGGAGCTGCCTCCTCCTTGTAACCCCATATACCTGCTTTCGATATTTTGCAGTCTGGAGGCAGCCAGCATCGGATTCATCATCATCATAGACAGGCGGAGGGACAAATGGAGCGCGGTAAAGGCGTCCCTCACCCGAATAGCAGTAAGTGTCCTGCGATGATTTCATTGATTTATTTTCTTTACCGCTGCTTGTCTTCTGCACGCTGTGACCCTGCTGGGACTGTGCCATTGATACTCTTGTTTTGCTGTGTTTTGACTGGGCTCTTTTGCAGCCGCACATCATGCGGGTATCTTCCCTTGCCCTGCCCTACAGATATCGTGCATCCACCCACACACACGCATGCTGAGAAGCAGGGGTTGCCAGAGCAGAAATACAAATAGGCACTTACTTTCCTGTGAAATGGGGGTTGAATTGTTCCAGGATAGAGAAAAGGCATGATTATTATTTCCCCATCCTGCAAGATGCAAACTGATTTGCAATTCTAAGCTCATGAAGAGCAAGAAGAGTGCAGTGACTCATAGGGTTACATGAGGACCCTTCCTGCAGCTCAAGCCTTAAGTAAGGATGAGCAGGGTTTCTGGTTGCGCCTTGCTGTATGTTGTCACCATTTTCACCTTGCAGAATGAAAACATTGATGATTTACACAGGATTGTAAGGAGTACAGCAGGTCAAACATGACACAGAAGACACGTGGAATAGGATGACTCTCTACTCCCATCCCATCCAGTATTTATCTTCAGTTTGAAACAGCCACAAGGGACTCTGAATTTTTGCTTGGAGAAACAAATGCAAGCCTTTCCTTGCTTTCTGTTTTTCTGATCAAAGGGCTCCATATCTCTGTGCTGCTTGCTCTTATCATCAGGAAGTCCTTCCTAGTATTTACATGGAATTTCTTTTCCTATAATTTACTGCTACTTATGGATTAGAGCAGCCTGCACTCAATGGATGTATACATCTATGAATCCAATCACCACACTTTGTATAACAGTTGCCATTCAATGTTATGAGGATTTCAGATGGGCTCCTAGTAATGCTCCACCACAACCTATTGCAGGACTTTGAATATCAGAATAAATATGTTTTTTCCTGAATTAAAGGCTTGTTTACCTTGTGCCCAAACTTCCACATAAGGAGACAAAATGTTGCCATGACCTTGGTTTATGGTAAGGTATTCTTCAAATGGGACAGTAAGAAGGAAAGGATGCAAGCAGCATCTTTGAGACTTAACAGATATATTCCAGCATAAACTTCCATTGACACTAGGCTACATTTCATAAAATGTGATGCCCTGGAAAACCAGCTGTAATATGACAATATGTACCTCTTTAGACCTCTTTGAACTAAGCCAGAAATTAATAGGCAGCCACTATAACAAGGTCATATCAACCAGTGATCTGGAACAGTGTAAAGGTAGCTTCAACTATTCAAAGAAGCATGAACCAAATGTATTACTTAGAAATGTTATCTATCCTTTGGTGGTTTCCTCACCAAAATTCATAATTAGATTGCAGTAAGGTAAAGGTAAAAGTTTCCACTTGACATTAAGTCTAGTCGTATTTGATTCTGGGGGGTGGTGTTCATCTCAGTTTCTAAGTCCAAGAGCTGGCATTGTCCATATATGCCTCCTAGGTCATGTGACTTGCTTGCTTGCATGCTGCAAGTCGCTTCTGGTTGCTTCTGGAATGAGACAATCAGCCGTCTACGAAGACGTTGCCCAGGGGACGCCCGGATGTCTTGCAATCCTGCAAGGAGGCTTCTCTCATGTCCCCCATGTGGCTGACATGACTGCATTGAGTGTCATTACCTTCCCACTGAAGCAGTACCTATTGATCTACTCACATTTGCATGTTTTTGAACTGCTAGTTTGGCAGAAGCTGGAGCTAATAGCAGGAGCTCACCCCGCTTCCTGAATTCGAACCACCGACCTTTCGGTCAGCAAGTTCAGCAGCTCAGTGGTTTAACCCACTGCGCCAGTGGGGGCTCCTAGATCACAGGGTCATATGCAAAGAACCAAAAGTTGGGAAACTTACTTTTTTAGGTGGGCGATTTTGGGAAATATAATCTTAAAAAGTAACTTCTCAAGGGGAGTGTTCTCTCTAAGGATGTGCTAGGTTCTTCAGGCAATTTTACAGTGTACCTCCCCTGAAAGCTACCATGGAGTTGTGTTGAAAAAACTATCACATTTCTAAAGGAAACTTTATTAGAAATTGCTAGGTCCTCTAATGCAAATCTATGGTATACTGGGAATGAAAGTAAGGTAGTTAATGGATCCCCTGTGGCCATGGGATTTTTGCACATATTTAGCTTTTTACTACAATTATCCTTATTAGTGAGGCTGTGTAGAGGCAGGCCTTCCTTACTGGTGGCACCTTCAGAATCACCCACATTGAATTGTATCAATGACGTGTGCAAATGGGCCGTCCTGTGGGCAGTCTCCTATGCCATAGTGAGTCCCCGATAGTAATGCAGCCACCCAATCCTTGCACAGTAATTTTTCTAAAAAACATTAAAAGTAAGAAAGAGCACTACTTTAGATGATTGCTAGTTTTCTTTGCCTTTAATGTTAGAGTTCAGTCACAATGTCTAAGTTAGACGCAATTTTTTGAAAAAGGAGGAGGCAGCAGGGATCGTACATTCTCATTGGATAAGGATGAAAACGTATAGTAACGGGTAAACCAGAAAATTGAGATAACGTGTGATAAGTTATAAATAACAGCACATAGTGATTTGCAACACTACAGGACTAAACGCCATGCTTAAATGACGCTACCTCCGCCCACACATGTGATAATGTCTTAAGTGAGTTCTGTTGTTGGCTTTAATGCACTTTCCACTTTGGCCTCATGGTTAGCTCATTAGATTTCCACTTGTGTGGGTTAGTTTTAAGTAAAGGTAAAGGTTTTCCCCTGACAGTAAGTCTAGTTAAATCTGGTGCTCATCTCAATTTTTAAGTCAAAAATCCAGCGTTGTTCATAGACACCTCCTAGGTCATGTGGCTGGCATAACTGCATGGAGCACTGTTACCTTTCCACAAAAATGGTACCAATTGATCTACTCACACTTGCAGATTTTCGAACTGTTAGGTTGGCAGGAACTGGGGCTGACTGAGGGAGCTCATCCCGTTCTGGGGATTCCAACCACCAACCTTCTGGTCAGCAAGTTCAGCAGCTTAGCAGTTTAATCTGCTGTACCACTATGGCCCCATAGTTTTATAGATTTCATATTCTGATATAAGATACTATGGACAAATGATTGTAAAGGCAGGGTGTTATAAATCTATGAAATGAACAATACATTTAGTTCATAAATGGAGTGGCAAGAGTGACAGCTTTGGAGTATGTTTCCAACAAAAGACATGTCATTAAAAGCAGTGGATGATGGGCAAGTGATGTAAATGTGTAATAAATGAGTTAAAATATTACATAATGCATTAGCAGCAAAATAATCAGATTAATAAAATAAAATTATTCTGCATTTCCCAGCTGAATGTGAGGTCTGTCTTAGTAGTTTTGCCTCTCAGTGAGTTATAAATGGATGTCTTGAAAGAGATTCTCCAGAGAGGTCATGGATATTTCTTAACAGTGCCTTCAGAAGCAAGACCTCCTTGTCCCTAACCAGAGTCTGAAGAAGTCATTTTTGGACCTCAATTCCCAGGATCTCTTAGGCAGCCAGTTCTGGAAGATGTAGTTCAAACCAAGAGGTGACTTTTTCATGGTGTTTTTTCAGAGCTGCCAATTCTCTTCCTTTGATTGCTTCACTTTTTCTTGTCTTTTCTAGGGAGCCTTTCCAGGGAACCTGCAGCTGGTCTTCGTCCTGCGACCGTCCCGTTTCATCCAAAGGGCGATCGCTGACATTGGCATCAAACTCTATCGCGATGACTTTAAAATGAAGGTACCGGTAAGCAGTTTTTTTTGTTGCTGTTGGAACCAGCATTCTTTGTTGGTTTCTACATCTTCCTCTTTCTGGCTGTCAGCAGTCTTTCTCTAGTGCTTTCTTTCTCTTCTTGGTATTCCAGCTTTCCAAAGCTAAATAATTTATTGGGCAAAGCAGATGCATTTGGTGGATCTCTTGCTGCAAGAGAGGGGGGCATAACAACACTGGAGGCATAATAAAACTGAGCATTAATTACAGTAGATCCTTGCTTATCTAACATAAATGGGCCGGCAGAATGTTGGATAAGAGAAAATGTTGGATAATAAGGAGGGATTAAGGAAAAGCCTCCTAAACATCAAATTGCATCATGATTTTACAAATTAAGCACCAAAACATCATGTTTTACAATAAATCAACAGAAAAAGCAGCTCAATACATGGTAATGTTATGTAGCAATTACTGTATTTATAATTTTAGCACCAAAACATTGCAATGTATTGAAACAGTAGTGGATCCAGGTGGGAGGCAGACTGTGTTGGATAATACAGAACGTTGGATAAGCGAGACTCTACTGTAACTACTCCTTCCACAAGGGATCCACTTGCTGCCCCTTTAATTGCCATGGCTCAGTGCCACGTGATGTGTAGTTTGATAAGGTACCAGCACTCTTTGGCAGAGGAAGCTAAAGACTTGTAAAACAAAGCTGGAGCACAACTCAAGGGGTTTATATTCTATATTATAACCTGACATCAACATGATAAAAAGAGGGACAAAACAATATAAACATGAGATCAAAGTGTAAAGTTCTTTATGGTTCAGAAAAAAAATGTATATCCTGTTTTTGTTTATCACATGCAGATCATCATGTTAAATTCGGTTTCTGATTTACATGGATACATTGACAAAAGCCAGCTTACCCGGGAGTTAGGTGGAACCTTAGAATATGGACACAGTCAGTGGATACACCATCGAACGGTAAGTAGCGTCTGTTGGATTCCTGCACTTCAAATATGGGGAAAATATTGTAAATGTGAAATACTTCCTCTGGGTTCTCACTTCCCAATTTTTATGAAGAAATAAAAGCTAAAATGACAGCGGTTTAAGAAACAAATAATTCTGAATCATGAGCAATATGTTCCGAAACTCCTGCTTGGTGTTTCCTAAGAGCCGCCGCAAACTAGCCTCCTGCGAGAGCAAACTGTGCTAGCACGTCCATGACGTCATAAGACTCCACCTCTCTCTCCGCCTCTTTCTCCGCCTCTTTCTCCGTGCCAGTGTGATTTTTCCTTTGCTAGGGCAGCTATGCCAGCGTACTCTCGCTGTTGGCAGAATTCAACAGCGAGAGTACGCTGGCATAGCTGCCCTAGCAAAGGAAAAACCACGCTGGCACAGAGAAAGAGACGGCGAAAGAGGCGGAGAGAGAGGCAGAGTCTTATGATATCATGGACGTGCTGGCACAGTTTGCTCTCGCAGGAGGCTAGTTTGCGGCGGCTCATAGAAATGTCAACAGTCACTGCCGTAGTAATTCATAGGATCATAGAGTTGGAAGCGACCTCATGGACCATTCAGTCCAACACTCTTACCATCAAGCAGGAAGTTGATGAATTCGTGGCTAAAGGAAATCTTCATAGAATAAATATTATGGTTAGGAGAGACTACAAGGATTGCTTCTACATTGCAGAATTAATGCAGTTTGATATAACTTTGACTGCCATGTCTCAATGCTGTGTAATTGTGCAGGTTGTAGTTTCACAAGGTCATTAGCTTTCATTGCCAAGCATGGCTGGTGCCTCACCAAACGACAACTCCCAGGATTCCATAGCACTGAGCCATGGTAGTTAAAGTGATGTCAAACTGCATTAATTCTACAATGTAGATGCATCCTTAGTCCCAGCATAGGACCCAAAGCAGTTTACAACAACTTATAACAACTTAAAAGTTATAACAACTTAAAATTAAAACAAATTACAACGGGTAAAAACTGACATTGTTATTTCCCTAGGGAAGTAGACATTGATGGTGGTAGGCATAACATTATCTTTTTTCCAGTAGGTTTTCTTAAAAGAATGAATTCTTTAGGCATATATACAGTACTGTATTAGAACTAGTGTGGTTTAGTGGTTTGAGTGTTGGACTAAGGCTCTGGAGACCAAATTTGAATCTTTACTCATCTATGGAAACCCACTGGGTGACCTTAAGCAAGTTACAATTTCTCAGGGCCCTTCCAGATCCTCAGTCTCAAAGAAAGGCAAAGGCAAACCCTTCTTAATGAATTCTGCCAAGAAAAGTGTGTGATAGCTTTGCCTTAGGGTTGCCCTAAATCAGAAATAACTTGAAGGTAAACAACAGTACCACTAAATACTTTAAAAAGTACTTTTAAGATACATACATTTCACTGGCAAAAAGTTAACTCCCTTCCTGAAATCAGTGGGACATGATATGTTGAATAGTACACCTCTTTTGCTTTTTTTTTCTTTTCAAAATATGGGGCATCATTCTCATTCTACGAGGAGAGGAACATTAGGAGCCACATCCTTGATATGTATTTTCTCTTTTTGAAAAAGCAAAGCAGCGCAAAACCCCTTTGTTGTGACAGCTGAGTTCGATCAAAGCTTCGTACTCTCTCTAAAAATAACTTTTGAGCATTTCATTTTAAGGAACCCTCATGTTTATTTCCATAGTATTTTTAAAGCATCTTTTTTTATATAATTGTAATACTTCGATTGATCTCGTATTGGGCAGGAGATACATTCCAGGGCTAAACAGGAGACAATGGGAGCAACTTCATTTGTTTTATCGCCTAAAGAGCTAGTGATTGTGGTCTAATTTCAACATGAAAAAGAGAAAATAGGTGAAGAGACCTAAATCTTCTCCACCTTACCTTCCTACGTTCTGTCGCTTCAGGCATTTCTCTCCTTGACTGTCCCACTTCTGGTACAGAAGTTGGTTCATTCAAAAGCCTGAAGCGGTGGAACATAGGATATAAGCCCAGCAGTATTAGCTTCTGAACACTTTTTATGGGTGTCAGATCAAGCTTTCCTTCATGGATGCCCAGGTAAGTCACCCTGGAATGTGTGTGATGCCCATTTCCTTATTGAGGATCCAGAACCCAGTTGGAAAGGTCAGAGTTGCTAGGAAATATCTTGTAAAGCAAGGAGAAGAGTGTGTGTGGTATGGGTTTACGTCTGGTTTGCTTGCATGCTTTGTATATTTTAGGAAGATTTTTATATTGTACTGACTATGGATGTGTTATTTTGTGTCTCAGCAATGTTTTTATTTATGTATTGTTTTACTTCATTTTTATTTGGAGTCCATATGATCTGGGAGACACTATAAAAACAAACACTTTTTTAAAAAAAAAACCAACATTTTCCAATGTTTTGTCCTTCTCCAGGGAAGATTTACTTTATCCGAATTCTATTTGCTCAGGGATGCATGGAAGAACAAAAAGAGATAAGCGTGGATTGTTGTATTTGTTTATTTATTGAAACGGTTCTCATTTTTCTCCTGCCCTCTATCTAAAAATTGCAGGTTATCATACAATAAAAGGAATGTTAAAGCAGTGTAACCAGTTTAAATGACTAAACTATATTTAGAGATTCCTAGAAATGTATTAAATAAATCCATAAATGATCAAATCCACTAAAATCAAGCCTGTAAATGTGGAGGTCTGACTGTAGTTAGAAGGCATAGATTTCTGTAAAACCCATTAGGACCCAAGAACTTCAGTGAACAAACTTGTTTTCACTGGATATTGGAATAACAGCAACATTTGCGTCAATCCAGCCTTTACAGGGAAGTTTTTCATAATGTAGGTGCTACAACAAAGAAGGCCCTCTCCCACATCTTCCCATGACATATTGCCTGGACTGATGGGACACAGAAGAGACTTGATCTCTGAGAATTGATCTCTTACAGATCAATTCTCAGGTGACACATGTATGGAGAGGCACCTCTTAAATTATCAAATTCCTAAGCCATTTATTGCTTGAAATGCCATTGAATTCTGATCGGAAATGTATTGGGATGGCATGAATGTTTAATCATCAATACATTGGCAACTATTTATATGGCTTCTGTGAACTTATTTAAAAGCACAGTGTGTGTCAACTTAGAGCCAGTGCGGTTTGAGAGTTTGGCTTCAGGTGCAGCTACACTGTAGAATTGATGCAGCTTGGCACCACTTAAAGTGTCATGGCTCAATGCTGTGGAATCATGGGAGTTGTAAGTTTACAAAGTCTTTATAGTGCTGGTGTCTCGTCAGATTAAACTCCCAGGATTCATGGTGTGGAGCCATAGCACTTAAAGTCAAACTGCATTAATTCTGCAATGTAGATGCACTTAGGGTCATTATAACTCAGAAATTACTTCAATATAAACAACAACAACAACAACAACAACATGCAGGCATACTTATCAGTGAATATTTCACTGAGTACAGTGGAACTGAATTCCTGCTAAGCCTGCGTGGAACAACTTCCACTTGCTTAGTTGACTTAAAGAAATACAGTGGAGTTTTTAAAAAAAAAGCTTTGGAATAAAATATTTGAAGAAGAGATGTTTTTTCTCATTATGGCGTTCTTCTTTCAGGCCATTGAGAATTTTGCCATGACAGTAAAAACCACAGCACAGATGTTGCAGACCTTTGGGACAAATTTGGCAGAGACAGAACTTCCCAATGATGTGCCGTGCACTGAAGAATTGCTGTCAGCACACACCGAACAGCACAACAAGTTGAAGGTAAGTGTTTGTGGCTCTCTGTCTCTGACCCTGAGAAAAACAGTCCTAAATTTCTATTTCTAAGCTTGCTATTTTCATGCACCTCTCCAACCATAGTTTTCTCAGAGAGATTTAAATCCTTATTCTATTTTCCTGTGTGAAAGAACAGCAAAAGCAAGCTGTGACACTTCAGTGTTTTCCTATGAACTTTCTGGAGACCAGGATTGGAAAACTGGGTGACCTTGCCTTAGAGGAAGGCAAAGGCAAACTGCCTTCTAAACAAACCTTGCCAAGAAAACCCCATGATAGATTCACCTCAAGGTCACCATAAGTCAGAAATGATTTGAAGGCACACAAGAAATATTACAAAACTCATCTGGAATACCAGAGGCAAATATTATCTGCTGCAGTGGCGATAACGGCATGCTTAGTTTGCTTTTCATCTTAGTTCAGCCTTGACTCCTTGAGATGATCAGGCATGGGGTATATCTCTGAATACTGATGCTGCAGGATCCCATGATCCTGACTCCATGAGGAAGAAAATGATATCTGAAAATGGCCTGCTTAGGCTTATTAATGTTGTCACCAAGAATTCTGCTGTACAATGCTGCTGCTGAAAAAATGCCATTTTCAGATATCATTTTCTTCTTCATGGAGTCAGGATCATGGGATCCTTGCTCCTCTCTGAACAGATAATGCTTCTGCTGTCTCTAGTTTGGGCATAATAGCTGCACCAACTCTATAGAATTAGTGCAGTTTGACACCATTATAATTGTCATGGCTCAATGCTATGAAATCATGTGAGTTGTAGTTTTTCAAGGTCTTTAGCTTTCTCTGCAAAAGAGTGCTAGTGCCTCACCAAACTCCAATGATTCTATAGCATTGAATCTTGGCAGTTAAAGTGGCATCAAATGGCATTAATTGTGCATTGTAGACGTATGCAGTGACTGTTCATCTCCCATCCCACTCAGTTCCTGGGTGAGAATCCTAGAAGGATATAATGCATACTATTAGCAGGAATAGATTTGAGGGTTAATTGCAGGATTTATCATATATGCACTTAGACTCTCCCTTCAGAAAAGCAAGAGGAGTGGGAGTGAGAACTCCATTGGCATTAATAGTGGGGAACAGGAACGAGTGGGAAGTCCCACTGTTATCTCCTATCTAAGCTTGAAAAGTGAGAAATGGAGCTTCGGAAAGGGAGTTGATGCAGAGTTGCAGCTTAGTTCAAATCAGACCTAGAAAATGGGAGGTTCCCTGCCTATTCGTGGCTGCTTTTCTTTGGCTGAGTTCCATGAAAATATAAAATTAGTCACCGCCAGCACTTCGATAACTTTAAAAAGGAAACAATATGTTCTTTCTTGCACTTAGATAAAATCTCGGGAGGGATAATTGATGTAGCACAATGTGTTTGTTTCAAGTTGGTATTCTTAGGCAAGGAATTCACAAGGTAGTTTTGCCAGTTCCTCAAAGGAGCCCCTACAACGCTTTCCATGGAAATAACTTTCTGGGATTAGGAACTACAACTCCCATAAATTCCAGAAGGCCCAACAGTCACAAAAGATGGAAGTTATGGTGCAGAACATCTGGAGGGCCAAGGTTTGCTTATCCCCTGATACAGGCTCTTTATGGTTACTAAAATATACTCGCTTCTGATTTTGAACCATTCTGTGACCATATCTATTTCCTTTTTTAAACCAGACGTATAGTTTTGTTAGAACATTGATATCACCCCCAATATCAGGATATCTCAGGATGGCTTACAAATAGAATTAAAATAGATTGGAAACAGTAAAAAAGTACAAATAAGCTAAAAGTACATTAAATCATACAACGAGTTAAAACAGATTAAAGTTTTGAAATAATAATGACCACAGTTCACATTGGCAAAGGTTTCTGGATATATGGGGAGTATTATTCTAAATAGAGTGAAGTTTGGACAGCGTTGGAGGACACCAAGTTGACAAAGACTGAGTTGGAGGCTTTGATTTGTATCCTCATAGTGTATCAATAGAGAGGGATGAAGTCACACAGATACATGTGTCTTTGCAGTAGCTCTTGAGTCAGATATTATGATACATTCTGATGAAATGTCCACAGTTCTTCCTTCCTTTGTTGTTGTTTTTCTCAACAGGATGAGCTGAAACTGGCTGTGAAGCAGGGGGCCACACTATTGACTTGTATTAGAGAGCCTGTCACACGAAGTGCCACCAGCAAACTTAGTCCAGATGAATTAGAAAATGTGGCAACTGTAGAAAGGTAAGAATAAAATGTAGGTTTTTTCTTGGATGCGAGATTAAAGTGGATATAAATAAATACACTGATAATGATCTGAGAAACCCAGTTTGTTGACTAAACCTTGCACCCCCTGGTCTAATGTATATGCCCAGTATAGTATATGCCCAGTTGTGTGTGTGTGTGTTTTATACAAAAAGTGTGTCTTTTATACAAAAGCTTATTGCCTATAATTTGTGTGTATGTGTTTTTCATCCAAAAGCAATCTGCTTATTGTTAACATGCACTCAACAAACAAACAAACAAACAAACAAACCAGAGATTCCATCCTTACAACTTATTTTGTACTAACCATCTTTTGGATCAGAAATACCAGAAAGGAGTGAATCAAGCAGGGAATATTGTCACAAAAAGATTATTAACCTTTCATATTTAGAAATATGTGAGATAATTGCTCCAGACCTCTAACTGGAAAGGCTGGCACTTCCACTAAGCAGAGTTATGTCAATACTTCATGTCGGCGATTTGGTGTTTTCAAAAAGAGTGAGGAATTGATTATTTCTTTACTGGAGACTCTCCACAGACGGGCAGGACCACCCATGGACCAATATTCACCCATGGGCAACTGTTTTGGGTAACGAATGAAAACAAACAAAGTTTTTTAAAGTGAATGAAAATAAACCATGTCCCTAAAATGGTTTAGAATCTGCGATCCGCACCTCCTCCAAGATGAACTGAATCACCTAAACTGGGCTCTATAGGCCAATGGATACTCCACCTCAGACATCAGGAGAGCTGCAAGACCAAGAACAAGCCATGAGATCAAAGACGAAGATCCACCCAGAGGAAAAGTGTTCTTGCCATACATCAAGGGAACCACTGACAGCATAGGGAAGCTGATGAGGAAACACAACATACAAACTATCTACAGGCCCACCAAAAAAATCCAACAAATGCTATGTTCAGCAAAGGACAAAAGGGATCCTCTCACTTCTGCAGGAGTCTACCGTGTACCATACAGCTGTGGACAAGTCTACATAGGGACCCCAAACGCAGCATTGCCCAAACACGAATCAAGGAACATGAAAGGCACTGCAGACTACTTCAACCAGAGAAGTCAGCCATAGCAGAGCACCTGATGAACCAACCTGGACACAGCATATTATTTGAGAACACAGAAATGCCGGACCACACCAACAACCACCATGTCAGACTACACAGAGAAGCCATTGAAATCCACAAGCATGTGGACAATTTCAACAGAAAGGAAGAGACCATGAAAATGAACAAAATCTGGCTACCAGTATTAAAAAAACTCTAAAATTACAACAGCAAAACAACAGAGAGAAAACAAACAGGCACATAAAATCACTCTCAACAAAAGATTGCCCCAGGCACTAACAAGCCACACCAAAAAACTGCCAGGCCATCAAATGCTAATCAAGGTGGTCAGTTGAAACATTCACACTAGCTCCAACAGACAAGAGTTCTTTGCCCCACCCCAGTAATTCCACAGATATATAAACCCATTTTCCTAATTCCAACAGACCTCACTACCTCTTAGGATGCTTGCCATAGATGCAGGCAAAACGTCAGGAGAATGCCTCTAGAACATGGCCATATAACCCGAAAAAACCTACAACAACCCATGTCCCTAATATTCATAGCTCTTGGAGCATGCCTAAATTTGATAGAGTATGCTGGATGGCATTGTGTAGAAGAGGGAAACTCATGGTGTTCTGTTACCATATGGTTTAGCAAATATAGTTAAGAGGAATTGTGATGTTATCCTTATGTTTCTCCAGCTAGACAATAACTTAAGTTAGCAGCCAATCCAATTGACATTCAAAAAGTACAAACAATAAATTCAATAGAACTTTCTTCTAGGAAACTGTGAATTCCCAAACCCAAAAGAATAACAGGAGCATTCAATTGTCCTCTTACATGTTTAGAAATCACATGTTTGTCAAGAATCTGCTAGTACTGTAATATACACAGTCTGCATCAGTATAGAAAGGGATATTATTTATTTATTTATTTATTTATTTATTTATTTATTTATTTATTTATTTACGGCGCTTATATGCCGCCCTTCTCACCCCGAAGGGGACTCAGAGCGGCTTACAATATATATTTTCATACAATATATTATATTATTAGCATAGTACAATATCAGTATATATTACTATATTGCACTATACCATTATATTGTAATATTATTAGTAATATTACATGTAATTAAATATATAATTATAATTATAATATTGAATTATTATTACTAGTATTAGATTGTATTACATTATAATATTATAAATATTATATGTATATACAATATACTATATTATATTATTAGTAAAGACAAGATGGAAATGTCTTCTGCTCCCTTCTGTCTTCTCTCTGGCCAGAGCAGCCGTTGGTGCCAGAAGGGGGAGGGGCCTCTCAAGTGATGATATAGGCAGAAGACAAGATGGCAGTGTCTTGGATATTGTTGGACCTTTGACACTGAGATGCTGTACTTGATGAGCAAAAGGGATTGTGGCGCAGCTAGCTGAGTGTCAGCTGCATTAAGATCACTCTGACCAAAGGTCATGAGTTCGAAGCCAGCCCGGGTCAGAGTGAGCTTCCGGCCAATTTGTGTAGCTTGTTGTCGACCTTTGCAACCCGAAAGACAGTTGCATCTGTCAAGTAGGAAAATTAGGTACCACCTATGTGTGGGGAGGCTAATTAACTAATTTATGAGGCCATAAAAAGACTCCAGCAAAAAGCACTCCAGCAAAGCATGCGGGGAATGCGGAAGTACTTCATCAGTGTTGCAGATGGACAATGAAAGCGACAGCTCCCCTGGCGGCCAGAAAAAGTTAAATAGCCTCTGTGTGTGTCTTTATACGTTGTATGTCTAATTGGCACTGAATGTTTGCCATATATGTGTACATTGTAATCTGCCCTGAGTCCCCTGCGGGGTGAGAAGGGCGGAATATAAATGCTGTAAATAAATAAATAAATAAACATAACATGATATAAATGTCATCTACTTCATTACATACCTCAGATAGCCATTTAACACCAGTAATTCAGAAGTCTGCTTCACAACTGAAAAGAACTGAAACTGAATGGCACCATAGACACTATAGGCTGCCACAAACACAAATAAAGGGGTCCAAGGGAAAATCAAGCCTGAACTGAGATCAGAAGTCTAAGTGACCAAACTGAAACTGTCATATTTTGGATGCATAACAAGACAATATGACTCATTAGAAAATACAGTAGCGATCTGTAAAGTTGAAGGCAATAAGAAGAGAAGAAGACTGCATTATAGGTGGATAGACACAATCAAGGCCACAAGTTTGAAGATCTGAGCAAGACAATTGAAAGACTGGGGCTTTTGGAATTCTCTCACTCATATGATCATCATATGCCAAAGCCAGTTTGAAGGCAATTAACAGTACTAATAATACTCCAGTTGGTGCTACCATATAGACTTTGTTCTAATTGACAGTCGAGCTTTGTCTCCTTTATTCCACGTTGCCCTATCTTCTTGTGCCTTCTTTGCTCTAGCACACTGAGACTGTCTCTCTGAATCAAATGTCATTCTTTCATTGCCTCAACAGGTTGCTAGCTCAGTTGGATGAAACAGAGAGAGCCTTTGATCAGTTCTGGTCCAAGCACCATCTAAAATTAGAACAGTGTTTGCAGCTTCGACACTTCGAGCAGGATTTCAGAGAGGTATTCCCCTTGTTTATTCTTTATTATTTTTGTGCTTTTCCCAATCCCAGTGAGTTACCTGCTAATTGTTGCTTCCATATATCAGTTGAGGATTCTATTTATTATTCATAGAAAAGTAAATGTACCCAGAAAGAAAGACAAAACTGAACTGCAAATCCCAGACAGAATTTAGAGAAGGACTTCATTATTTTTTAAAAGGCTATTAACAGCTGCTAGATTAATTATTTGAAAGATTTAAATGTGATATCTGTGATGGCCTACTTTTATTAGATATGCTTTGATTGCAAAATTATCTGGTAAACCTTAAATAGCTTTAAAAGACAAAGAAAGAAAGAAAATGCTGTTGTAATGAATTGAACCAATTTATTGAATGTATAGTGAGAAGATTATACTGGATTTACCATGTTAAAAGTTCAAAACGTATAAGAAAATTATTTTGATATTTTTAATGTTTATGTACAGTAATATTTATGTACTACTGTATCTTGGGAGGTATAATCAACTTGTTAGAGATAATTTTATAGCATTAAATTAATCAAATTAACTCAAATGTATTTTAAAGGTATTAGCTTTGAGCTGATATTACAGACATCAACTACTCAACTCTGTAATCAGCCAGCTTCACATATTTCGGAGGCCAACTGTGTGGCAGAAATGTTATTTGGACTGGATGCACATGTTAGTTTTGTGGACACATATAGAATACTAGAGTTGGAAGAGACCTCGTGGGCCATCCAGTCCAACTCTCTGCCAAGGAGCAGGAAAATCGCATTCAACGCACCCTGACAGATGGCCATGCAGCCTGTTTAAAAGCCTCCAAAGAAGGAGCCTCCACCCCACTCCGGGGCAGAGAGTTCCACTGCTGAACAGCTTTCACAGTTAGGAAGTTTTTCCTAATGTTCAGGTGGAATCTCCTTTCCTGTAGTTTGAAGCATTTTGTGTGTAACATGAAAGTGTGGAAGTATTAGAAGTGATTCATTTGGAGTATCCACCATACTCAGTTGTCAGGAAGAAACAAACCAGTTTATCTGATGTGCTTCCATAATGTCTATTAAATTTATGATCAGAAGGGGTTCACATTTATCAAGAAAATGTATAAGTAAAAGGAGGATGCTGTCTTGACTTCAGCCAGGTGACATCCAGGGAAGTTTAGGAAGCTTGTTCATTTCTTCCATTTTTTGCGCACATTCTTCTTATAGGTCAAACTAGTATTGGACAACCTGATGGAAGCACAGGCTGGTTTCACGGATATTGGAGACAGTGTTTCCCGTGTGGAGCATCTTCTGAAGGAGTGCAAGCAGATAGAAGAAAGAGGACAGGTTTGCTTTTTAAAAACTTGCCTTATAAGCAGACCAGAGTACATTGTTAGAAGCTGTATTGCTATATAACAATTACAAGTAATTACAAGTGGGACTTACAGCAAAATGTTACAGCATGAACTTCTGCTCTTCACGATTCTCTCACCCACCTGTCATGCTCCTCCTTGCATTTCCATTTTCCTCCTCAGTGACTATTCAGTATTGCATTGGCCCTAAGCATACTTGATCTTGCATTAGGATAGTTTGGGTTCCCTTTAGAGCAGTGCTTCTTAATCTGGGGGGGGGGGTCGCGAGGGGGTGTTAGTGGGGTCACCAAAGACCATCAGAAAACACAGTATTTTCTGTTGGTCATGGGGGTTCTGTGGGGAAGTTTGGCCCACTTCTCTCGATGGTGGCATTCAGAATGCTATATGATTATAGGTGAACTATACATGGCAGCAACTATAACTCCCAAATTTCAAGATCTATTTTCTCCAAACTCCACTATTGAGTATCCGTGCCAAGTTTGATCCAGGTCCATCATTGTTTGATTCCACAGTGCTCTCTGAACTAGAACTCCAAAACCCAAGATCAATGCCCTCCAAATCCTTCCAGTATTTTCTGTGTGTCAAGTTTGGTTCAATTCCATCGTTGAATGCTCTTTGAATGTAGGTGAACTATAAATCCCAGGAACTACAACTCCCAAATAACAAAATCAACCCCCCAACCCCACCAGTATTCAAATTTGGGTGTATTGGGTATTTCTGCCAGATTTGGTCCAGTGAATGAAAATACATCCTGCGTATCAGACATTTACATTACGATTCATAACAGTAGCAAAATTACAGTTATGAAGTAGTAACAAACATAATGTTATAGTTGGGGGTCACCACAACATGAGGAACTGTATTAAGGGGCTGCAGCATTAGGAAGGTTTAGAACCACTGCTTTAGAGGATTTTGGACTATAAGCACCAATTTAGCTTCTCCTGAACTTGCTGATATTTCCCCTTTTTGCCACTTTAGTAACAATACTCACCCATCAAACACTGAAAGAGGAGTGAATTATTACTATAATGCTGTCAAAAGACAAATTGGGGAAAGTGGAAGGCAGTTGAAAAGAGGAAGAACAAATTACAGGGAGACTCAGAAAGGGAAGCCCCAGCCACAAGTTTGCAGATGCTGAGCAGGGCTGTTATTAACTGGATCTTTTTGAGGTTTCTCCTTTGTAGAGTTGGCAGAAGTTGAATCAATTTGACAGCATGTAACAATAAACTGTTGGAGTAGATGTGAAATTACAGAATTACAGGAGCAAAAAAGATACACGCCTGTGCCCAAGGAAAGCATAGCTGTCATTTGATAGACAGAGGGGAGAAAAGAGTCAAGGGCAGCTGGTGTAATTATGAGCTCATGCAGTTTTAGATATTTGGGTTCAATCATACATACAGATAGCTATTAATCCTTAGTGGCTAAGGCCTGGTGCTGATGGCTCCATAAGGGGAATTGTTGGGTTTAAAGGAGGGATCTTAAGAAATATGGATTGTTGGGGGCAGGGGGTTCCTGCCATAAGAACCCTGCCATAAGGTGCAGATGAAAACAGTTAGGCAGAATTGCTTGGGGGAAAAATGAAGCACCTTGAGTGTCAGTCGCTGAGATAGATTTATAGACCTCAATTGAGAGATATCTATATCTATAAATTTCCTACTGGCGTCCAACGGGGAAGCAAAACTCTAAAACCCCTCCACAAAACTCCACCAAAATTGCCATGCCCCAAGGACAACCCACTAGGTACAAACTAATCCAGTCAGAAATCAAAACAACACAACCACACACAGAAAAAACGGCAAAACAACTGAGCATGCGCACTGGCGCAAAGTCCCCAGCGCGCGCGCACACATGGCCGAACGGCCAACGCACTTCCCTCCCTCCCTCGCCCCGCCCAGCGCGAACACGTCACCGCACTTCCCCACACACGGCACACACACACACACAAAGAACGCCACTTCCCCCCGCCCCCTTCCCTCCACCCCCTCCTTCATCTTACTCCTCCCACGCTGCCTCCAAGCCCCGCTCCGCACACTCCAAGCCTCGCCGCGCCGCATCCCCACTGGAAAGACATGCCCCCTCCCTTCGCCCCACCCCTTCCCTCCCTGAGACACTCCTGGAAGGAAAGGGGTGGGGCGAAGGGAGGGGGCGTGTCTAACCGGAGAGGGAGGGAGGAGGGAAGGAGTGAGTCACGGAGGAAAGGGGTGGGGCGAAGGGAGGGGGCGTGTCTTCAGAAGTCGCCCCCTCCCTTCACCCCACCCCTTCCCTCCGTGACTCACTCCTTCCCCCCCCCCCCCTCTCCGGTAAGACACGCCCCCTCCCTTCGCCCCACCCCTTTCCTTCCAGGAGTCAATCAGGGAGGGAAGGGGTGGGGCAAAGGGAGGGGGCGTGTCTTTCCGGAGGGGGTGGGAGGAGGGAAGGAGTGACTCAGGGAGGGAAGGGGTGGGGAGAAGGGAGGGGGCGACTTTGAAGACACAATGATGGATCCGGACCAAAGCATTCAATACGCCCAAATATCCACACAGATGGAGTTTGAGGGAAATAGACCTTGACATTTGGGAGTTGTAGTCACTGGGATTCAGAGTTCACCAACACTCAAAGAGCATCCTGAACCCCACCAACGACAGAATTGGGGCAAACATGCCACACTGAACCCCCATGACCAACAGAAGATACTCAAGTTTACACACAAGCATAAAGAAGGGGGAGGAAGGAGGGATGCCAGAGAGAGAGAGAGAGAGAGAGAAAGAGGGGAAAGGAAGGAGTGTGAGAGAGAGAAAGAGGGAAAGAGGGCGAGTGAAGGAAGGAAGAGAGGCCAGGCAGAGACTTCAAAACTCTTACTAAAGGCCACAGCAACGCGTGGCAGGGCACAGCTAGTATACAGATATAAAGAGATCATCAGACTTTAAGATATATAAAAGATGGATTCCTGATGAAGCTGTGAATAGGGATGACAAAAATCACATTTCTTGTAACACTCAGAATCTCATCAGAATTCTCATTCTGTCCGACTTCTTTATAAGGTTTTGAGATTATTATTTTTTGTGGAGTCATGCTCTGGTGCGCATTTTCCTTAATATTGTTCTTAATGATGTCCCACATTAATTTAAGTATATTTATCAATTGCATACCTTGCTTAGTATTTGAAGGGGCTCCTGGTGGCACAGCAGGTTAAGCTGCTGAGCTGCAAAACTTGCTGACTGAAAGATTGGTGGTTCAATCTGTGAAGCAGGATGATCTCCCGCTGTTAGCCCCAGCTTCTGCCAACCTAGCAGTTTGAAAACACGCAAATGTAGGTAGATCAATAGGTACCACTTTGGCGGGAAGGTAATGGCACTCCGTGCAGTCATGCCAACCACATGACCTTGGAGGCATCTACAAGGTATGTAGAGGTATGAAATGAATGCAAAAAGTGTTGTGAGGAAAAGCAAGACTGATGACTAGGATTACTAAACTTGATTTTTTTTAAAAAAAAAAATCTGCATATCACTGAAATGTCTGTCTCTCATATCCTCACCACACATGATAGGGAAGTAATAGACAAGCATTCCACGATAGTATCATCCACATGAATTTTTAGAAGACCCCTGGCAATCACTCATCCTTCACTGATCAGGAAGTGGCTGGGCATGTAGGAATGCATCTGAGAAAAAAAAACATGTTTGGGAAATGCGTGATTGACATCAAACTATCATAGCTACACTTCCCAATCTGTCTCTGTGTAAGCCACATAGACCAGAAGAGCTTGCCTGGTTGAGGATATCAGGGGATGCTAGACAGTTCTTCGCCATCAAATAATTGTTTTTCATGTATAAGCATAAGAATGTGTGTTGTCGAAGGCTTTCATGGCCAGAATCACTGGGTTGCTGTGAGTTTTCTGGGCTGTATGGCCATGTTCCAGAAGCATTCTCTCCTGACATTTTGCCCACATCTATTGCAAGCATCCTCAGAGCTTGTAAGGTCTATTGGAAACTAGGCAAGTGAGGTTTATATATCTGCTGAATGTCTCCCACCCTGGACATATAAACCTCACTCGCCTAGTTTCCAACAGACTCTTCAACCTCTGAGGATGCCTGCCATAGATGTGGGCATACGTCAGGAGAGAATGCTTCTGGAACATGGCCATACAGGCCGAAAAACTTGCAGCAAGCCAATAAGAATGTGGTTTCCAAGAAAGTCTGACTCCTAGTTCCCATGTGGATGACAGCAAATTTGCTTTTGTTTGATTCACGTAGAGTTTTCAGTAATCTTTATGTGTGCTTTTCATGATCTTTTGCAGGAACCTTTGGAAAAAGCCCAGTCATTAGCTCTTCAAGGAGACCAACTGATCCAAAACAACCATTATGCAATTGACTCCATTAGACCAAAGTGTGTTGAACTCAGGCGCATCTGTGATGACTTTGCCAATGAGACAAAGAAAAAATATGATATTTTAGGAAAGTCTCTAGAACTGCATAAACAAATAGATAAGGTAAGATACATGGAAGTGGGAAATGTTGCTTGCTGATAATATTCTATACAGAAATGAATTCATCAGTTATCAGGAAGAATTGGGCTTTTGTATTAAGTCCCCCAAATTCTGTCACTGGAAATCTCAATTGTTTTGAAAATAAGTAAGAGTTGGTTAAAGGAACATGTACAAAACTGAAAGGGATGGGAAGGGGAGGAAGATGGTGAGAAGTATTTTCTAATTTTTAAGTCTTTGGCAGAAATTTCCGGTTTTCTTTTAATGGACTATACTTTTAAATGAAATCTAACATTCTCAATTCTGTTGCTAATTTGAATGTTGTTGCCACATAAACGAAATCAGCAAGCAGTGTGTTGAAATATCTGATGGACTGTTGAGTCACACTCATTTGAAGTTGGGCTGCTGGGTCTACCATTGCATGTGAGAATGCATGTTCATGATGCTAATCTGTATGGAGAGCTATGCACAGAGAGAATACTTGTATTTTAATTGTTGAATTTTGAAGATTGTATGTTTCTCTTTTTCCCATATATCACAAATATATAGAGGTGTAAAATCAAAATACAGATTTTCCAGTAGTGACAGTGAATTTCTTAATCTACTTAGAGCACTCAGTGTCATTTAATATGTGCCAAGTTCTTAATATAAACCATTAGGCCAATTTCTATATTAACAGTCAAAACCTCCTCCCAGTAAGTATCTATAGCGAGAGCGAATTTACTCTGAAAACTTGCAGAGAAAATGGGTGGGACCAAATTTGGAAAAGGAGGGAGTGAAAATCATTAAGTGTTGGGTGTCACAATTGCTTTGGAGTATTCCTTTATCAAGGGGTGTTCATAGCAAGACCCTAAATTACTTATTAGTCTCTCTTAAATCAAATTAAAACACTTTAAGGACTTGGATTAAGTGCTGCTGTGAAAGAAATTCACTAAGAGACATACCTTTTTAAAGTAGTAGGATTGGCGGAATTAATATGAAAAGGTCATGATAGAGGAAAGTTTTAATTCTGTTTTGTGTATGTGTAAGTACGTGCACACATGCTTACCAAATAAACTTGTAATGTGGATGAAAGGGAGAATATTTGGTTGAAAGCAGAAGCAACTTACATTGAAATACTGGCAGCTTAAGAGGAAGTGATAAGTTCCTTTTCCTATTTTATTGTTCTTTAATTAGAAAGCAACAAATGTAGAAGGAGAAATGATAGTTTTCAAAATGCCGGAGGTAAAGCACAGACCTTGGAACTATCATCTTAGAAAATAAACTCCTCTGAGTCATTCCTTGTAATAACATTGTTCCACATGTTCACCCATGATTTAGAAAGGATCAACACACAATGTGGTGTGATTAATAAAATAAATGAAAGGACACAAGTTGCAAAAAAGAATTCTTTCTGTTTTCTTGAATACATGAAGATAGTTTTACCATTAAAGTGATATTCCAAAAATGTTTCCTCCAGGATATTTATACAGTGATCGGTTTCTTTCTAAGTTTCTGGTACTGCATGAAGTTTTCTCTGTACTTCTGTATTCCGAGTGGGAGAGGAAACAGTAATTTTAAAATGCCAATTTTCAAATGATAAAGTAGTTAAGAAGTTAAAGGACTGATACTCATTTCCTTGCTCTACTATTTTCCCTGCTTACAGTACTGCATCTATGCTTTTCAGCTCACTTCGACCCTCACAACAATCTTGTTGTCTGCCTGCTGACATTGTTATGAACATTATTTTTTACTCTTATTTTTAAGCCAAAAGTCACTGTATATAGAACCAGTGAATTGGCATAGGCTGAAGACATCAATACTTACAAATTTGGAAAACAAGTTATTAGGTTACAACTCTCAAACTTTCCCAGTCAGTATGTCTATAACTGCCCAATGGCTATACTGGCTATGGGATTTAGGGAGTTGCAGCTCAAAACAATTTTTTCTTAATTACTCCTGAGAGTAATAGTATACAGTTAAGTATCTGCCTCTCATTTCTCTCCTGATAGACTAATATTTTATTTTTTTTAGATTGGAGGGATGTATGATTTGAAGTTGTAATTGCTTGCTATTTCCCACTCATTTACTCTTTTAAGGCAAGCCAGTGGTGTGAAGCTGGAATCTACCTCTTAGCTTCCCAAGCTGTGGACAAGTGCCAGACACAAGAGGGAGCTGAAACTGCACTTTGTGACATAGAGAAATTCCTGGGAACTGCCAAGGATCACCAGCTATTGAATGGCAAGGAGTTCTGCAATCAGTTTGAGATGATTCTCACCCCAGAGATTAAGGTAAGGACATGAGACCAAAAGGTTGATCTAGTCCAAATTCTGTTTCTCAAGCAGAACATGATGGTAACAAACCTATGCTACTGTTTCTTCTTAGCTAGGATTTGCCAGATTTGAGGGCCAAAACCTCAGGCTTAGAGATGACCCCTTGTGATGTCACAATTCTGGGCCCTGCTGTTTGTATAATACACAATGCTTGTTGATGTCATAAAGCATGATACTTTAATTATTATACACAGTTGCAAAGAACATGCAATTCAAATTAAAAAAAAAAACACCAGATCTAACAAACAGGAACACATAGTGCTCTCCACTAAGACTCCTTTCCCTCATCTTGAGGACTAGAGAAGAGCATCCAGCCCTATTATCTGTGAAACCTACTTTCTACAACTAATATTTAGAGTAGAGTTTGACAAGCTACTTATTTGGACTTCACTTTCTAGAATGTCATAACCAGCACGCAACAGCTGGAAGTGTTAGTGGAGGTGATTAATGTACTCTGGTGCCAACCTTTGTAGGTCAGACTATAACTTGGAGTGGGTTTACCATCCCTCTGACATGAAAACAACCAGTCACCACTGCCAGTCAACATGACCATTGAGTTCCTGGGATTTGTGCTAGAAAAACGTAACTTTCTCAAGCTCTGATTCAAAGTCACAGTGTTCTGAACCAGAAGGTTGCACATAACCATTCTGACTACTAGCCATTGATAATAAATTAATATGAGGTTTTGGACAACATATTAACACTCTTGGACAAAAGGTGTATGCTTTGGCATTCTTAGCCTCCTATTGATACATGTTCCATCTCAATATTTCTTCTGCAGAGCAATGCCCAAAGAGTTCTACAAAAACTAGAAGATGTACAAGAAATGTTTGACAAGAGGCAAGTGAGTCTAAAAAAGCTGGCAGCAAAGCCGACTCGACCAGTGCAACCCGTGGCCCCACATCCAGAGTCATCACCAAAGCGAGCATCACCTAAAAGCATCCGGCCTACCAGCACCTTAGGTAAGCCATAAATAATACTTGGGCTTCTTAACCCATTCATTTAAATCCAAGGGCTGGCAAACATAGCGGTATTAGTCCAGCATTCTTTTTGCCACAGTGACCATCAGTGAAGGGTGCTTTTATCTTCATGTCATATTTATAGGCTACCCAGCCTATAAGCAAGACATGAAGATAACAGCACCTTTCTCCTGATGTTTCTGAGCAAGTGATGCATAGAGACATTGTGTCTTTGGTCCTGGAGGTGATATAAAGCCAAGCTGACTAGAAGCCAATGATTGCTGTATTCTTCATGCATTTATCTTAATTCCAAGGAAACAATAAAAGTCTCTAAAGATAGATCTCCCCCCTCTCAAAGTATGGGACGTCCAGAAAGATAAGAAAATTAGACGATGTTATTCATCAGATCAAATGACAACTTGACTCTGACATCAATTCTGCGTGTTTGTGATTCAGCTCAGAATTAAGCATAGGGTTCCCTACTGTGACCACCACCTTCTTCATGTCAGGTCTCATGGAATCAAATTCATACTGGGGTATAGAAAGAAGAGAGCAATCTGATCTTGGAAAAGTCACTTTTTTGGATTTCATCTGTTGGAAACCTTAGTCAGCATGGTCTGATGAATTCTAGAAATTGTAGGTGCAACAAGTAACTTTCCCAAGCTCTTTGAGCAATGTTAATGTATAAGGAACATAGGAAACCATTTTATATCCATTCAGGCTAGTTGGCCATAATCTAATACTGCTTGATTGACAGTGTCTCTCCAAAGTTTCAAGCAAAGACATATCAGAGCATTTTAACAAGCAGTGCTATGTGGACATGACCCACAGTTAAGCTCTTGTCGCTCCTCTGAAATGTTTCCCATATGCCCTGTGGTGATGCTTTTCTGGGTTAGCATTTTCAGTATACCTTGTGCTGCTTTAGATTATATATTTCAAAAACTTGGAAACTGTTTGATTTACAGGATGACTGCCCACTACTTTCCTTATTATTATTATTTCCAGCATTTCTACCCCGTCCTTCTCAACCCCCTGGGGGGGACTCACTTATTACCCATTCATAGAATCATAGAATCAAATAGTTGGAAGAGACCTCATGGGCCATCCAGTCCAACCCCCTGCCAAGAAGCAGGAATATTGCATTCAAATCACCCCTGACAGATGGCCATCCAGCCTCTGTTTAAAAGCTTCCAAAGAAGGAGCCTCCACCACACTCCGGGGCAGAGAGTTCCACATTCTTACACTTATTACCCATGCTTAGACAAATGTACAGCTCCATAAGCATTCAACATACACACCACACAGATCTATGCAATCCATATTCACAAGAATCCAGTTTTGTTGCATGAATTGGCCCTAGGAAACTCAAATCAGCTTCCTTTGGAGGTGAGACACAGTTGGAGTGCCTTTTAAAGTCATGAAATCCTACAACTGGTCATATGCCAGGTCAAAATATCTGGCTGTCTGTTGGATCCATCATAGCATCCTACATTGTTGGTAGTCTGGAAAAAAAATAAATTGCTTAATGAATAACATCTGGTGTGAAGATGAAAGTGGAAAAGACCAAGGAGAGATTAGCTGACTCAGGAAATGTGGCAGATGTGAATTCCATCTATGTCTCTTGAGGAAACCACTAACTTGTTACCGTTTGGAATGTTTATTTAAAAACCAGAAGTGAGAAGAGACTTTCTTTTTTTCCCCTCAGTGTAGAGAGAAGTTATAATACATGTCAAAGTCAGAATGGATGAGCAAAACTCTGGTTGCCAGGTTTTATTTTGCTGAGGGATGCTTTTGTAGTATGCAAAGAGCCATCTTGGAAGCATTAAAATGAAAAGTGAGAAAGGTCTAACATTTAACTATGAGTTTATACTATGTATTTAACAGAAAGTCAATCCAATGGGGTTTTCCATGTTTGGTACTAGGCAAAGTCAGAGATTAGATAAAATAATATTAATGTTCTTTAATGACTGAATATTTAAAAATACAACCTGGGAATGTCTTTCCCTTGGCAAAACAACAGAAAAACAGAGATGTATTGATTTCCTGGTTCAGACTGTGAGTGAACTTTGCAGATGATTCATAGCTGAACACTACACACTATGTGCTAAAACCATCTCCATTTTTGTGAGCAATTGTGGTAGAAACCTGCAGCACAGAGATGGCCTACTGTTTGCTTCGCTTACTCTTCTCAGTTGCTTATCTTTGGCCATTGTATGAAACTGGCAAATGCCAAGCATAAAGATAATGAATGAAAAATTGGCAGTTTTTTTTCTTTTCTACGAAGTTGGGAACAAAAACACAGGCACTGCAATGGGATAGGGATACTTGATGGAAATGCAGCATATGGTAGCAAAGACAGAAAGACTTTAAAGGGCAGTGATTACTGTTCCTGACTCCACAGACTCTACCAAAGTGTGCGCCCTTCCTTCTTTGGGGGCTGAAAACTAACACAAACACCAAATCAGTCCTGATTTGGTGAAGTATATTACTTCAACATTGCCAAGCACTGAGTCTTGTGAGCACTAGAAAACATGTTCTCTATTTATAGAAGTTAGAACTGCTAATTCCAAAGCTACACCCCATCCTCTCCCTTTTACCTATCCCTATCCTAAGAGGTTTACATATATGGAAAACTTGGCGAGAAAAGCAAGTTTTGGGAGATAAATGGTTTCCATCTCCGTGTCCTTCCAAATCCCCAATAGTTAGCAAGTCTTCAAAAGTGTTTGCATTCAGACACCTTCTCAATCTGTCTGGATCAATCTAATTTGGCTTTTGATTGATAATTTGTCAGAATCTGAAGCATTCACAGCTGAGGTGAGATCTGACCTAGAGATTTCTTGCTTCATGACTCACACTCTGAGCTGGGTTTTTGTTTTTTTCGTGTCAGTAGTGACTTCAGAAACTGCAAGCCGTTTCTAGTGGGAAAGAATTGGCTGTCTGCAAGGACGTTGTCCAGGGGACACCCAGATGTTTGATGTTTTACCGTCCTTGTGGGAAGCTTATCTAATGTCTCTGCATGGGGAGCTGGAGCTGACAGAGGAAACTCAACCCGCTCTCCCCAGATTCAATTCGCTGATCTATTGCTGGCACAAAGGTTTAACCCATTGCGTCACTGGGGGCTCCTACCCTGGGCTACTACCTGTTCTTTGGTAGATCTTGGTAACCTGTCAATCAGCCCTGTTTGATAAAGAATCTCCAAACCAAGATCAACATTCTCATAAGGTCGTGATGTTAAAGCTTCTCCTGGTTTGTGTGTTCTTCCATATTAGTAATTTTCTACCGCAATCTGATGTTATTTGGCCAAATATATCCCAGGTTTCATCTGTGAAATTTGGAAATGCTGGTGGTGTCCTAATATGTTTTATTTGGCATACACTTTCATGGAGCCAAGACCCTATTATCAGATGCATGAGATGAACACATATATATTTCTTTATGTCATTTAGACATAGGAAATAGGGCAGGGGGAAAATAGGGCAGGAAGGAAGTGCCAGTGATTCACATATTTTCTATCTGTAACTGGATAGAGAGATGGAGTTTAAAAAAAGGAAAGGTAATATTTAAAAACAAAGGCCTGGATTATGTACCAGTTTATTCATTCACTATACTTAACTAAGTAATCTCCTGGCATAATCTCTCCAAATCAAGAGGAAACATTCTTCATCTGTGCTCCAAATACTGGTACAATGGGCATCCTTTCCCCCATGCAGCTGGTGCCTGATAAAGTGGAATAGGTGGGTTATAATTGTAACAATCATGTCATTCATCATGGCATTGGGTGGTATCTACATCCTAGAATGAATGCAGTTGAAACCACTTTGCTATGGCTCAAAGCTATGAAATCACAAGTCCTGTAGTTTTACAAGATCTTTAGCATTCTGTACCTAATTGTCCTGGTGCCTCAACCAACTACAAATTCCATAGTATTGAGCTAAAGTGCTGGAAAATGGCATTAATTCTACAGTATAGACCCAGCTTAAGTTAGCAATCATGAATAAGAAACAGTTATGGATAAGTAATTGTTCAGTATTTGTGACAGGTATTCAGTCACCATTGTGACACTATTGCCATGATTGTAACTCTACCACCACTATCCACTTTACCAGGCATCAGCTGCATAAGGAGGAGGTCCATTCCACTGGCAACTGGAGCATGAGTAAAGGATGTTTCCTACCAGTTGGTGGCAGGAAGGCAAGAGAGTTTACTTAGTAAAGGCATGTCAGGCCAGGAGAGTTTACTTAATTAAGGAGTGTCTGCCCAGGAGAGTTTACTGAGTTAAATAATTGCAACTAAGTATATGCAAATAAGGAGCTGATACGGGATTCTGGTCAAGATATTTTGGTGGGTGTTTAGAGAGGAAGTGAGGTATCATCTTGGATAAACCTACTAGTTCCTTTTTTGGCTGTGAAAGTATCTTTAACTGAAAGCAGTAAGGATCTCTCACACTTAATAAAGCCATAAAAGGTTAGAACAGTAGACCTTGAGGCACAGAAACTCAGGTCCTGAATTTGCTCCTCTATTTATGTAAGATCAGATTTACTCCACCAACTCCTCATTCTCAGTTTGCAACCGTTTCCCCTCCCACATTTTCTCCTTAATGCCAAGAGAGCAAATTCTTAAAGGTGGGCCACAGGTCACTAAAAAAGGGAGGCGAGAAAGCCGCATTTTGTGAACATGAACTCTGTTCTGTTCCTGGAAGGAAAGTTAGGATTCAATCCAGATGCTACATATCTGCCTTTTCTCACCATCTTCACTGCTAGAATCAACAATTCATCATTCTCTTTTTACAGTAACTGCATGGTTTATTTTTTTCAACATACACGGTAGTTTTTCCAATGACGTTATTCAGCACAGGCTTTAGTTTCATACATTCCTTCCTACATTTTGTTCACCGAGAGAAAGCCCCACATGTTCCAATAAACAGTGTAATGGCAGTGAACATTTATTTTATTTCAAATGGATATACCAGAATTTTAGCTGCTTCTAGAAACGATTACTAGTTGAGGACTATAGCTGTCTTCCCCCATCTCATAATGCTTCTACTGCTTTTGGTTTCTTGTAAATTATCATATACTTAATTTACAGAATTTGCTCTCTGAGTCATGGTGGTGGGTAACAGATTATTTAAATTGAACTGCATTATATGGCAGTGTAGACATATAATCCAGTTCAAAACAGGTAACGTGGATTATCTGCTTTGATAATATGGATTATATGGCAGTGTAGAGGGGGACTAGTAGTCCTGATTTTATAAACACCTAAAACAAATGCTTTGCTTGTCCAATAAACTAATCAAACTTTTGTCTAGTCCAAAAAAATAATTAAGCTTGCAGAACTTTAAAATGATGGTATTCTTTGCTTTTGATTTCACTGTGTTTCATCTTCTGATATTATATGAGGCCTGTTTGTGTCATTTCAGCTACCCATAGGAGATCGCTAGAAATTTCTAGTCCTCCAAAATCTGTTTCTGATGCAGACTTGTCAAAAAAGAAAAGTGTAAAGAAGACTAAAGGTGGAATTAAGGTAGGAAGTTCTGTTTCTCTGTTGGAGAAAAACCAAGTTACTGAGACCATTGTTTCTTAAGGCATTGCTCTAAATTACCCTTCCCCAATATTATGCTGTACAAGATGCCTTTGCTTACAGTCCCCATAATCTCCGGCTAGCACAGTCAATCATTGAAATGATGACAGTACTATAGTCCAGCATATTTAGAAAACCATCCCCTTCCAAAGAGATCTTGCAAATAAAACCCTGTGATAGGCTTATGTTAGGTTTTCCACATCTCAGATCTAAGATTAGTGGAAAACAAGCATTCAAACAGATCACTGTATAAAGGTGAATCTATGTGGCAGAATTAGATTTCTGGATAAACTATAATTTGGTACTTCCATGCTGGCATCTTCATTTGAGGTTTCTTGTAGTCACTGGGAAATGGCTAGACATGGTTTGTAGCTGTTTTGTATTGTTTGACCATTCTGAAGACTAACCACAGTTTGTTTAGGCCCAGACAGAACACTAAGCTGCAGCTTAAAGATGTGGATTTTTTTTTTTGTCTCTTTGAAAGTGCACAAATGAGTTTGAGGCTTATTCGTGTAACCCAGTTCTGTGCAAAATGTGAATCTATTTAGGCACAGTAGATATCTCTTTTTGAATCAGGTAATGAACAGGAAGCAACTATTAAAACAAGCTTTTCCTGAACTTAAAATGGGCCAGGGAGGCAAGAAACATGGTAAAAATCACCCAACTCTCAATATTCAGGGGCAAAACACTGTTGTTTTTTGTTGCTGTTGCTAGGGAAGCAGTGGAAGTTACAGCCCTCTTAAGATATTGTAAGGTGCTAATGCAGCTCTCTAGCCTTTCATATTTGCCCACCCTTGATATTATAATTCTGCATGGAAAAAGGAGGTAATATTTAGCCAGAGTATACATGCCCCTTAGTCCCCAATATGTTTTGGAGTATACCACTCATTTATTTTCCCCATCTATTTTAGAGAAGACTTTTCTCCAGAACATTTCAGGAAGTGTGATTCTTCTCTAGAACTCTGTTGCCATGTGCTTTGTTTTACTGCAGGGAAAGGCATCTCTAAAAGCCCTAAATGGTTTGGGCCCTGTCTATCTTCATGATCACATCTCCCGCTATGAACCAGTGTGGGCCCTAAGATCTCACCTCTGCCACCGCCACAAGCATGGTTGGCGGAGATGAGAGAGAGGGCCTTCTGTGGTGGCCCCCCGATTTTGGAATTTCCTCCTCAGAGAGATTAGGCAAGTCCCCACACTGTCCTTCTGTAGGGACCTGAAAACCTGGATGTTCCAGCAGGTCTCCGTGAACTGATTAGTCCCTAGGCCCTTCCCTTGGCCATTAGCTAGGACCCTTCTCTGCACTTTATCCACTTCTGCAGCCCTATGACACTTTATTGCACTAGCCCTTGCCCACCCCTTTCACAGTTGGCCATGACCATTTTGTAAGTCTGGCCATTGGTAGTTTGAACCTGTCTGATGGAGTTATGATGAAATTTGTTTTTGAATTTTTGTGTTTGTTTTAACAGGATTTTATACTTATGTTTTATGATGTTTATTTTAATTTGTTTGTATGGTTTTCCCTTCCAGAAAGTGAATGTTTTGCCTTATGTTGGAAACCGCCTGAGTCCTCTTGGGAAGATAGGGCGGTATATAAATAAAGTGTATTATTATTATTATTATTATTATTATTATTATTATTATTAATTTCTGTTAACCAGGACCCTTTCCCTTCCCAATTGTGATTGCCGCCATATCTTAGAACAGTGGTTCTCAGCCTGGGGTCCCCAGATGTTTTTAGCCTTCAACTCCCAGAAATCCTAACAGCTGGTAAACTGGCTGGGATTTCTGGGAGTTGTAGGCCAAAAACATATGGGGACCCCAGGTTGAGAACCAGTCTTAGAACCATTTATGCAGGGAATGGGTGGGATTACAGTCCACAATAAGGTTGGCAGAGCTAAAATTGATCCCATGGCACCCAAAAGGTGCCCACCTCCACTCTAAATCAAATCTAGCCACACCACTGTAAAAAAAAAGACAAAAGAAAGCAATGTCTGTTCAGTTAAATCCATGTATGTTATAGTATAGTTTGCTTATAACACAAACATAGCCCACTTTGCATGCATACATGCATTAAAAAAATCCCAGATTTACATTTCAGTTTGAAAATTGGGTAGTATATATTGGAAAAGACCAAAACTCAATCAGGATAAATAGTACTAAGCTGTATGGGCGAATGGCCTGACATTATATTAAAGCTCCATATGAACACACACTCTTAATAGATATCTTTTACTATAGTTCTTTAACACAAATATTGTGTTCAGAATGACAAAAACAACCCTGTATGGTCAGCATAATTATCTATTTCACATGTGAAGGACTGCTGAGTAGGCCTTTTGTGGCATGTGGAAATAGTTCTAAGTTTTTGAGACAAATCAATTAGACAAATGACTTCAATTGTGTATTCCTTCATAGTGAGGGTTGTTGGATGACCCTTGTCTTTTCTAACTGTGGTTCTATGACTTCTGAAGGGTTTCTGAGTTCGGGTATTACACTATTGTATTGCAGAAGAAATGAACTTTTAGCCATAATCTTTTCTGATGTTTTTCAAAATCATTATCCAGATTGAAGTTATGCACGAAGCAAGTCAAGGAGGTTCAAGCAGAATCTTAGTGATGAGTGAAAGTGAAGAAAACCTATCTACCAGGAGAAGGTAAGGATTAAGCAAGAGTAATAAATATTCCAGCTGTCTCTTATTTGTTAGGGTCTTCTCTTGGATTTGTAGAACATGGCATTACTAAACTATAGCCATTAACTTCAGTTTGCTTTTTTTTAAAAAAAAAATGGTTATTATCTTGAATTTTTATAATTGTCTTTCTTTAGAATACAAGTGCCACCCCAATCTCTAAAATAAGGGCTGGCAAAGTGCAGCCCTGAGAAACATGAAACTTAAGAAACATCTAAATGTGACCCACGGGATCCCACCACGATTTTTGACCTGTGAACCAATTTAAATCTCTCAAAACTACTTAGAAAAGCAACAGTTTATTTCTCTATTCCACCCCAGCTCCCCCAAACAGAACATAAATGGCTAAAGATTAGCCAAATGACAGCTAGGTGTGACATCACATCCCTTTAAGCATGCTGAATTGCAATGCTTTGCCCACTGACCAGGCACAGGAAGGAAAACAATCTCTGTCCTGGTTGCAATTGCTCAGTTAACTCTGATATAGAAGTTAAATAAAGGAGGACATGAAAATAAATATTAGGCTTCTATTTGTCACACCATGTTCCATATCATATGATGCCAAGTATAGGTGAAGGAGCAACTTGTTTGGTTCACAAATGGTTCAGAAATGCCAAAATCGACCACATTTCTACCATTTCAAACAAGTACCAGAAGAAATTCAATTATCTTTCATAATTCACAATGTTCCAAGTTCTCCAGTTGAAACCCAAAATGAAAGAACAGTAAGAAAATTGCATGTATCCAGTAAAATTGCACACTAAAATGTATATTGGTTGAAACAATGTTTACAGATATTTGGTAAATTGTTTGGAAAGTATTGCTGATGTAGTAGTCCAAACAGAAACATTATCATCACTGTTGACATAAATAATACTTCTTATTTTTGGATTGATACTTTTTTCAGACATTAGATTAGTTCTGATTATTTTAACATTCTATTTAGACCACATTACAATAGCTGTCTTCCGTGTTCTTGTGTATTTTGTCCTGTTACAGTTTTTTCCATACATCATTGTCACCCACACTTATGACAGCTTAAAAGGAATTGCATTATTTTTGTATCAAAATACCATACTTACCTTCAAAAGTCTTCCCTATCACACAGAAAATGCTCCTCCATTCTCACTGCTATAAATATCAAGTAAATAAACAGTTTGGAATAATGCTTTTAAAACTTCTTAATTCAAGATTATTATTTTTACTATAAAGGAGGTATTCATCATGACAGAACAAGAAATTATATTTACTGGTGTTGCTAATAACTTACCTTAAGAAAAATAAGTGTTCTGTAGAGAGAGTTTTTAAGAATACCAAATGTGACTACATGAATCAGTGCCCAACACTTTTACAAAATACACAAAATTGTTTATTGAAAACAGGATTTGTACAAAACATATGGTGACAGAGCAAGAGTCAAGAATAAATAATTGTCATTTTTTGTAAAAAAAAATTATATCCAATAGCTGCAAACCAAACAAGTAAAAACTAGCATAAGAAATAAACACTTGTGTATAACAGTGTCAAACTGGTACCTGAAGTGACCATTCAAGCTGATGCAATTTTACTTGTAAGCAAAATGAAGAAAAACTAAGAGCCCTGCATTTGAAACACTGAAAAACCAAGAAATTTCCAGTTTTAGAAATCTAAACACGGTACTCGAAGCCCAAATACCTAAGAAACCATCAGGCTCCCCTTTCTTAGAAAAAGAGTGCCTCCATCATTTCTTTGAATTGTCCTCCTATGCTAAAGTAGTACACAACTATCTGTCCCTTTTAAAGCTAGCTAATAAATAATTTTTAAACACAACAGACCTGCTGTAAAACACAAACACATAACAGCCATTTCAAGAAGTCAACACAAGTTATAGGAACAGCTTATTCCTGATGTTTATCAAAACGCTTAAGGAATTCATCTGAGGCAGACATTATATACCTGCTTGCGACATTCAAGACTGTCAAGCCCAATTTGGCTAATTATTATTGGAGTTCCCACAGCATTGTGATATTATTCTGAAAATTGTTAGAGCAGGAGTGGGACTCAGGTGGAGATTTGGTTGGACAGCAAATCCCAGCACTATTGACCAGTGGCTGTGCTGGCTAGAGCTACAGGGCACTATAGTCCAATGATATTGGGAGGGACAGAAATACCTGGGTTAGAGTAATATAGAAACCGTACCCAGTTAAATCCATATTTAGATTACTCTTTCTGTACTGTTTGGGTTTATACGCAAATCCAACAATTGGGTTGTTGTAGGTTTTTTTGGGCTATATGATCAGGATCTAGAGGCATTCTCTCCTGACGTTTTGTCTGCATCTATGGCAAGCATCCTCAGAGGTTGCTTGCCATAGATGCAGGCGAAACGTCAGGAGAGAATGCCTTTAGACCATGGCCATATAGCCCGAAAAAACCTACAACAACCCAGTGATTCCGGCCATGAAAGCCTTCGACAATACAATCCAGCAATTTTCTCTCTCTGCCCAAATTAAGGCCAAAAGATATTTTTACCACCACACATTAGAAGACATGGTATGACTTCTGCCCACACATACCATTTCATTTCACTTTTAAGAAAGAGATGGTACAGCTGTTTTAATATCTACCTACTGTTAAGTTAAACACAAATAGGGAGAGGTATTTTCTGTTGTAAAACTACTAAGTAGTAAAATAATTCCAAACTTTACTTGAGACAAGCTTTTTTTTTTACGTATGAAGTTGGCACCAACGTACATTTTATATCTTTCTGAATTTTAAAGAACATTATTTTTTAGAGTATAATTGTATAAATTGGGAGTTTTGTACATTGTTAAATTTGAGGAAAGTATATAATCCAGGTATATTCCTCAGAAATTTTTATTCAGTAGTTGTATTTAAAAATGTTTCCTGGTTCTCAAATGTAATGTGAACGAATGGAAAAGTAAATATATTTAGAGTGAAAACCAATTTAGCAGTGAGGAACTTGTAATTGTGCTCATTCTTCAAAAATGAACTGGAGTGTTTGGACCTATTTTCTTCAAAGCATACACCAGCTGTAATGATTTTTAAGTTTCTCATACTTTAAGCACCAGTGACCTAACATCTAAGCATGGACAAAGAATGCTTCATCCCACCACTCCAGCACAAATCCTCATCTAACTTGCAGTACATTCCATTGGTGGATAGTGACTGATTTTTACAAAATTCTGCAAGGATAATTATATTTTCCCATAAATTATCTATTGAGCGTGCCAGTTTTAGGATTAATCCAACAAGTGCTTAAACCAATGCTAGCACCACTTCCATGGGAATAAGGTTTCCCAAGTTGATTTTGAGTGATCTGTACAACATAGTGGTAAAATGTGTAGCCACTCATTAAGACCTTGGATTGAAATGTGCTTGTGCTTTGGAGGCATATGGGAGGAAGGAGGGCGAAATGCTGCTTATCCAATACAGTGAGGAATTTATTTGACTGGCCTACAGTATCCATTTACATTGTCATCAATGAATGTGTTTTTCAAAATTCAATTTAATTTTATATTGAATTTTGTTCACATTTAAAAGCGTAAACATTCTGATTTTTAGTACTATCTAACCTGTTCTCAAAGTGAGTTGGAGTAACTGTAGTTTATGGAAACCAAAGTGTTCAACTTTCAGGAAACTGGTGAAAATAATGTAGTACACAGGTAAGCTTTCACATTCTAAGTTTTTATGCAACATTTCACGTTCGCTTTTGCATGTGTCTTGGAGGAAACGGCCAAGATCTCTTATTTGTTTTGGCTCAGTTAATCTTTGTTTTATCTTCAAGTATTAGGAGAATGCAGCTAAACAGGGATAGGTGTCCTGATAGTATAATTTGCAAAGAAGCATAATGTTAACTATTCTGCAATATACTGTACCCCAAATGCCAGATGAAACGTTTTTCACTTTGGGGTCTGTAATTTGCTTCCAAAGATAGTGAAGGTCATCTACATGTCCATGAGAGGTCATCATTTTGTTGTAAATGCAAGGATGATATGGAGCTTTGCCTTCCCCAGAAAAAAACAGATGATATTGTGGAACAATTCCCATTTTGTTGGCACAGAGACCCATGAAAACATCATCTATATATAGGGTTGAATTAAGAGTCAGTGAGGCTTCATAGACTTTAGCTGCTACATCACTCGATATCACATATGCAGCTCCTGCTGTATAATCAGGATAAGCAAGCCAAGGATACATGTCGTATGGAACATAATATTTGCTCTTCTTATCTCTTACGGGAGGTGCTCCCCGATGAACACGTCCAATCCAAAAATTTTGAACACCAATTTGTGCTAGACTTTGGAGGTAAGCAACAAGGTTTGGCATGTGAATAAATATATCATCATCTGCTGACATAACAAACTTGGCATGAGGGCAAAATTTATTTACCCAACTGAACTGCAAGAGTAATTTATGAGTAAGATTGTAAAAAGTATCCAAGAAGTCTTGCTGAATCAGATCACCATACATCTTGTCTTCTGCCTGGAGCCTTCTTTGCTGTTGGTCTCTCTGTGTAAGGTTGCTTGGCAGCCCTAATACAAAGAGGGTCTTTATGTTGGTCTTAAGGTAGTAATGGACATACTTTTCATTACCCCACGTCTGTCGAATTGCATCTCTCCGGTGGTAATTTTGAGGTGCAGTTTTGACAAACAGCAAGAGGAGGACATCTTGCCCTTGACATTTCTCCTTGTGATTGATCAAGTATTGATAGCCTGTTCCTCTGTCCAGGTTATCTCTGCTAACAGACAGGCTATCATTCACAAAACTATAGCTATTTATGAGGTATCTGTAGGAGTAAGATTTCATGTGGCCCACAATATTACTCTCATCAAGTGGTCCCCAAAAAATCATGAGACAAAGAAGAAAGCAAGTGGCAAACAGCGGCACAATTTGGCATCTTCTAACTCTTCTTGGATAAACATACATTCTGATGCACTTTCTTGCGTCTGGTTCCGGTTAAATGTTTGTATTCTTCCAACAGAGTTCTTGTGAGAAAGTTCAATCTCTCTCCTTTAGAGATAGTGTTCATTGTAGAGGCATCCTATCTCTGCACAGTAGTTGTAATATAAACAACATACTTTTTTACAAGTCATATTTCTTCCCAAGTTGTTTTGTTAGTACAGATGATATGCAGGAAGGTCTTGACGATATCACCTGCTGAATATACAACTTCCTCTGCTGCATCTTCAACAGATCTAACTGCACTCTCAAAACAAATGTTGTTACAGCTTCAGTAGACAGAAAAGTGATCGACAGTGATCTGCAAAAACAAAACAGGAAAAGAAATATGTTAGCAGTTTATTCAATTTTAAGTGCAAATCACAAGGTTCTAAAATGGTTTGACTACTGCATTGATCAAAAGAGACAATAACCTCTAAGTATAGATTATCGTAAAAACAGATCTCCACATTAACCCCAATCTCATCTTCCCCACCCATTTCCAGTTTATCTTTACAGAATCTAGAGTTCCATGCCTTTCATTTCACTACATAAACCCCTGTTGACAGAAACATTGTTGACTCATCAAACAGTGAAGAGGGTTACTAAGTAAGAGGCATTTTTTGCTTTACTTCAGAACAACTGAGCACCTTCTTAAACACTTTTTTTTAAAAATTCTTTTTTAAAAAGTTGTGTCTTCACATGGCCATATAGCCCGAAAAACCAACAATGACCCAGTGATTCCGGCCATGAAAACCTTCAACAATACATATAAGAGTATTGTCGAAGGCTTTCATGGCCGGAATCACTGGGTTGTTATAGGTTTTTTTCGGGCTATATGGCCATGGTCTAGAGGCATTCTCTCCTGATGTTTCGCCTGCATCTATGGCAAGCATCCTCAGAGGTAGTGAGGTCTGTTGGAAGTAGGAAAAGGGTTTATATATCTGTGGAATGACCAGGGTGGGACAAAGGACTTTTGTCTGCTGGAGCTAGGTGTGAATGTTTCAACTGACCACCTTGATTAGCATTTAATGGCTTGGAAGTGCCTGGGGGAATCTTTTGTTGAGAGGTGATTTGATGTGCCTGATTGTTTACTCTCTGTTGTTTTGCTGTTGTAATTTTTGAGTTTTTTAATACTGGTAGCCAGATTTTGTTCATTTTCATGGTTTCTTCCTTGAACAAATGAACAAAATGCCTCTAGACCCATGGCCATATAGCCCGAAAAAACCTACAACAACCCTATAAGAGTATTCTTCAGTAAATGTGCCATCTAAAGGGAGGCAAGCTGAAGAAATTAATGCGAGGCCTAGTACTGGAGTGTTCTAAACTGAGATGCCTAGAACTGGAAACGAAGAATACAGCAAATGTCCTGCTAATGGGATAGAATCATAGAATCACTAAGTTGGAAGAGACCTCATGGGCCATACAGTCCAACCCCTGCCAAGAAGCAGGAAAACTGCATTCAAAGCACCCCTGACAGATGGCCATCCAGCCTCTGTTTAAAAGCTTCCAAAGAAGGAGCCTCCACCACACCCCGGGGCAGAGAGTTCCACTGCTGAATGGCTCTCACAGTCAGGTAGTTCTTCCTAATACATTCTATACATTCCTTTCTATCCATTTATGATCACCATCGTGTCCTTACACATTAGTAGCTTCCTTCTGAGGTGAAAGACTTGCCTTCAAGTCAAGTATCAACTGGGTTGTTGTAGGTTTTTTCGGGTTATATGGCCATGTTCTAGAGGCATTCTCTCCTGACGTTTCGCCTGCATTTATGGCAAGCATCCTCAAAGGTAGTGAGGTCTGTTCGAACTAGGAAAAAGGGTTTATATATCTGTGGAATGACCAGTGTGAGACAAAGGACTCTTGTCTGCTGGAGCTAGGTGTGAATGTTTCAACTGACCACCTATATAAACCCTTTTTCCTAGTTCCAACAGACCTCACTACCTCTGAGGATGCTTGCCATAGATGCAGGCAAAATGTCAGGAGAAATGCCTCTAGAATATGGCCATATAGCCCGAAAAAACCTACAACAACCCAGTGATTCCGGCCATGAAAGCCTTTGACAATACAAGTATCAACTTATGGAGACCCCATAAAATTCACTGCGTTTTCTTAGGCAAGGAATACCTAGATATTCGTTCCTAACAAAAATGAAGCCAATAAATACTCACCAGGGCTCCATACCTGCTATTGGTAGAAGTACCTAAGCACCCTTAACTCACCACTGCCTATTTCTTCATAACCCCACTTAAGATCTAACCATAGCCCGTTAATTGGAAATTCTGTCTATCAAAATTCACTGTCGTCTTCTCAGAATCCTAACCATTAGGATAACCCAAATCTCCCAATGCCTTGGATTATATAGTTGGAAATGCATCTGTACTCTCTGTGGCTTTCTGTCCTTGTGTCCAAATGAATAGATGGAACTATGTCTTCATCTTCCCACTCTCTGCTTTTGCCTTGGGGAAGGCCATCTTGTAGAACAGGCATGGGCAAACTTGGGCCCTCCAGGTGTTTTGGACTTCAAATCCCACAATTCCTGACAGCCTACAGATTGTTAGGAATTGTGGAAGTTGAAGTCCAACACACTTGGAGGGCCCAAGTTTGCCCAGGTCCGGTTGTAGATCCATGAAATGGGATCCAAAGACTTTCAATAACCCCTAAGTGGCTGAGGGGGGAAAGGAAGGGGACCAAGGTTGTTAGGAATTGTGGGAGTTGAAGTCTAAAACACCTGGAGGGACAAAGTTTGCCCATGCCTGTTGTAGATCCATGAAATGGGATCCCAAGATTTTCAATAACCCCTAAGTGGCTTAAGAGGCTGAGGGGGGAAAGGAAGAGGCCCGAGGCTATTAGGAATTGTGGGAGTTGAAGTCCAAAACACCTTGGAGGGGCCAAGTTTGCCCATGCCTGTTGTAGATCCATGAAATGGGATCCCAAGACTTTCAATAACCCCTAAGTGGCTTAAGAGGCTGAGGGGGGAACGGAAGAGGCCTGAGGCTGTTGGGAATTATGGGAGTTGAAGTCCAACACACTTGGAGGGCCCAAGTTTGCCCATGCCTGTTGTAAATCCATGAAATGGGATCACAAGACTTTCAATAACCCCTAAGTGACTAAGGGGGGGGGGGGAAGGAAGGGGCCCGAGGCTGTTAGGAATTGTGGGAGTTGAAGTCCAACACACTTGGAGGGGCCAAGTTTGCCCATGCCTGTTGTAGATCCATGAAATGGGATCCCAAGACTTTCAATAACCCCTAAGTGGCTTAAGAGGCTGAGGGGGGAACGGAAGAGGCCTGAGGCTGTTGGGAATTATGGGAGTTGAAGTCCAACACACTTGGAGGGCCCAAGTTTGCTCATGCCTGTTGTAGATGCATGAAATGGGATCCCAAGACTTTCAATAACCCCTAAGTGACTGGGGGGGGGGGGGAAGGAAGGGGCCCGAGGCTGTTAGGAATTGTGGGAGTTGAAGTCCAACACACTTGAAGGGCCAAAGTTTGCTCATGCCTGGCCTAGTCTGTTGAGAAACCCTAATTTCCCACAGATACGCCTTCCTTTGTCTCATTCAAAGCCCAGCTTGCGTATCATTTGCTCAAGGCAAAGACATAGCAGTAAAAGAAATAATTTCTTATCAATAAGATACTAACTGATAACCTGCTGATTAAAATGTTAACATTTGGTAACATTTTCAGAATACACACACACAAACACTCCCATACTTTGAAACTAGCAGAATGACTAGTTTCCAGTCAGAAAGTTTTTCAAGGCCTATTTTTCGAGTAAGGGCCCATTTAGTCACGTTTGTGAAATTGTTTGTTTTTCCTCTCATTACAAAACATCGTCTTTCACCTCAGAAAGAAGCTACTAATCTGTAAGGACATAATGGTGATCATAAATAGATAGAAATGGATGTATAGAAACACTCCCATTAGCAGAACATTTGCTGTATTCTTCGTTTCCAGTTCTAGGCCTCTCAGTTGAGAACAATACTAGGCCTCACATTAATTTCTTCAGCTTGCCTCCATTTTGATGGCATATTTACTGAAGAATACTCTTATATGTATTGTTGAAGGCTTTCATGGCCGAAATCACTGGCTTGTTGTAGGTTTTTCGGACTGTATGGCTATGTTCTAGAAGCATTCTCTCCTGACGTTTCGCCTGCATCTTTGGCAGGCATCCTCAGACACCACTTTAAACGTCAAGGCTCAATGCTATTGGGTTGTGGGATATGTAGTTTCTCTCACCAAACTACAAATCCCAGGATCCCATAACACTTGAGTGATGGCTGTTTAAAGTGGTGCCAGAATTCGTTAATTCTACAGAGAAGACGCATCCCAAATCTGAGGAGAAAATGCATCCCAAATCTGAGGGGAAGAAACTCAGGGTCCTTCCACACAGCCTTATTTCTCAGAATACCAAGGAAGAAAATACTATATTATCAGCTTTGAACTGGAATATATGGCAGTGTGGACTCAGATAACCCAGTTCAAAGCAGATATTGTGAGATTGTTTGCTTTGATATTCCACGATATAGGGCTGTGTGGAAGGAACCTCAGACAAGAGGATGATTTGTATTTATTTTTACTCAGGGTCCTTCCACATAGCCATATAACTCAGAATATTAAGGCAGAAAGTCCCACCATATCTGCTTTGAACTGAATTATCTGAGTCCAAACTGTTATATATCCCAATTCAAAGCAGATAATGTGGGATTTTATTCAGCTGTGTGGAAGGGGCCTCAGAAGCCATGAGTGTGGAGGAAGATTTCCTTCAGCTTTATGTGAAGGAAATTGTAAAGATCTATATGAAGGATGAGAACAGCAGTACATGTGGAAAAGATCTTGGAGTCCTCGTGGACAACAAGTTAAACATGAGCCCACAATGTGGTGGTGACAAAAAAAGCCAATGGGATTTTGGCCTGCATAGATAGGAGCATCGTGACTAGATCCAGGGAAGTCATGCTGTCCCTCTGTTCTGCCTTGGTGAGACCACACCTGGAATCATACTGTGTCCAATTCTGGGCACCACAATTGAAGGGAGATGTTGAGAAGCTGGAATATGTCCAGAGAAAGGTGACTAAAATGATCTAGGTTTTGGAGAACACGCCCTATGAGGAGTGGCTTAAAGAGCTGGGAATGTTTAGCCTGAAGAAGAGAAGGCTGAGAGGAGACATGTTTTTTTTTTTGTCGTGTCAGGAGTGACTCTTGGTGTGAGAGAATTGGCCGTCTGCAAGGACGTTGCCCAGGGGATGCCTGGATGATTTGATGTTTTTTATCATCCTCGCAGGGATGGGTCTCGGGGGCACTGTTTTACAGTGGCTCCGGTCATTCC